GGAACCTTTAGGAGCCTGCCTGCCCATTCATCCAGGGAGGTAATAAATGGACAGGACAAGCATTCTATCAGCCCAGAAAGATGATGAAGAGGGACAGACATTCTATCGTCGCAGGTTAGAGAATGAATAGGCTTATCATGGTTGTGTTTATAAAGCACCTGGGCGGTTACTGCTCCCCCCCTCCCCCCCCCCCCCCCCCCCCCCCACCCCCTACCGCCCCGTATCTGTCGCGTAGAACAGGTTGCTAGCTTTTGTGGTACGGGAATGCCTTAGTATTATTTGTACCACCTTAAGTTTATGGTAATGCCACGACGCCATGGACCTGATGCTATCGCCTCATGCTGTTATCCGAACACCTACCTAACTATGCCGATCAGCATCATCCCCGCGGCGAGAAGAATTCTGGACCTTTTATTATCTGTCTGCTATTTTTTTTCAATGTTTGAGAAGCTTGTCGAAGAATCTGCCAAGCACGTCTCGGAATGTTATCAAAATGTGATACTCCTTGTGGCATTGCATGGAAAAAACTAAATGATTTCCCACACGCTCCTTCCGTTCTAAGACGCTTCGCGTCGTGTCTTTGGCCCGAATGAGGCTGGCGGCGTGCTCCTGTGATTCTGCGTGGGTCAGTTGTGGCATAAATATTACGAGACTCAGGCACTGTCGTAAGCCCTTTTGTGTGAGCTCAGCCTTATGGGGCGTGCGCACGGGGACCTTGCCGGGATGGACGCAGTGGAGACAGAAGAGTCTTCCAAGCACCATGACGCTGACCACTGCTGCTCACGTCATGCACGTCGATTTGCGGTTTCGCCCCAGACGTACCGGAATGCGTTATTGCTAGTGGATTTTGTGGTTGCAAATTACAACGGTTGTGTAAGTGTTCGTCAGATTGGATTTTGTTCTGGCATCTTCAAAGTCCGTTATTTGTTTTAATTCGTGGTAACCGTTTCCAGCCGGTTTGCGCGTACATCGAGGACGCATTTACTGCCTAGAAAAACGTGGCGTCCGTGTTAAAGTATAGGAAGCTTGTTAAAGCCCGTTAAGGGTAGAAGACATGGTAACCGTCTCCAGCTAGGTTGCACTTATATCGAGGACAATTAGCTGGCTAGAAAATTGTGGTGTCTATTGGCGTATAGGAAGTCGGCTAAAGCCCCGTTATGCATATCAAGACATGGTGACCGTCTTCAGTCATGCTGCACCTTATCGAGGATGATTCTCTGGCTAGACAATTGTGGTGTCTCGTGTTTACGTATAGGAAGCTTAGCAAGGCTTTCCTCATAACCCTTGGTTCAGACAGTGCACCGTCTGAAAAAAATTATTTGTTGAATACGGGGACAATTGTCAGACGACGGGCATCTCGGCTGTACATGATACTATCTGAAGGTTTTGGCTTGATTATCTCTCGAAGATGCTTCCGATTTTAGATAGCATGTAGGAAGTTTCTACGCGGCGGCAAGTGTTACGCATGTGTGGGCACGACGATAAGTGGCGTGCAACTGCGCATAACCGGCTTTGCACGCCTTGTGTCGTTCGAGATTCCTGTATATGTGCGCTCCTTTGTAGTATCACCACAATCTTCCAAAGTCCGAGCTTTGGTCCTGCAGCTTTGGGGCATGTGCTATGTGTAAAGAGGAAATTGGTCACTGTCACTGCCATTCCAAAATGTCGTTTCGCACCGGGGCTTTGGTTTAAAGCCCTTTTTCTGGCCACAGGCGACGCTCGTGATCTTTGAATCCTGTGCGTGATGTCAGCATCCGCGCATGACATGAACAGAACGCACGTGGGGCGTTACGTTAGCCTGCTTGGTATTCGAAACGCAGGGCAACGTCCATGGGCGCATTGAGTACGGCATTACCTCATTTGCGGTCGACGCCGATACTCGTCGATCGACCGTCTTGTCACCGGCGCCGCGGGCCCCATCGGGCCAGTGCGGACTGGCGGCCCGAGTGCTGCGGCGGGCGCAGCGTCGGCGGGGTGCGGCCGGGAGTCCCCGCCGCTGGCCGACCCCGACTGACCCGACCGCGCCCCCGGCCACCCCGACGCCATCGACCGGGCGTACCCAGCCCGACTGCGCTGACCGGCCGCCGCCGCCGCCGCCGCCGCCGGTCGGCTTGGAGTCGCTTGGAGGGCGCCCGGCGACCGCCCAGGCAGGCAAACCAGGTCTGCCGGCGGGCAGTGGGACAGCTGTTAGGCGGCAGGACGGACGCTGGATCGAATAGCGTCGTTGAGTGTAATTCTGCCTGCCAGTATTTGTGTCGTATTAGTCGGTGTTCGAAAAATTTACCTGGGTTGAGCTGTATCGTGTTTGTCATAACAAACACATTATGCGCACATCAGATTTGCGAGGAAGTTGTATAGGAGTAAAGCAAACAAATTATGCATGTGCATATGTTGTGTCCCAGGGGACAGACACCCTACGCTGTCCGAAAAGAGATTCGAATTGGTACAATTGACGTGATGTTGCGGGACACAACTGGTCTTAGATGCCTCGGTGTACGCTTCTGAAGCGTAGGAAAGAAGTAGATCCGCACACTGGCATTTGAGCCAGTCGGGGATTGTGACTGGTATGGGCTCATGATGGGAGTCTCATAAAGGCTACCGAATAGTTAGGAAAGCCCCCTGGAACTATGCGAAGGGTACGAGCCGCTCTGAAAATGGGCTTTCTCTGGATCAGAGCTCTCCAAGGTGTTTATTAAACCGTTCACAAGTCCTGCGCTCTGTTTCTTCTACTGAAAGCGCCCATTCGGGGTACTTAGCTCATATTTAGCCCTGGGGTATTTAGTTCGAACTTCCGCTAGTCGCTTAGGCTCTCCACGACCACGTATACCGCTGACCCACATTAGCAGAAGAGGTCGTCCATAAATAACGTCATGCACTTCGAATTGAGCTGGATATGCGAAATAGATAACGGGCGTATTCCTTGTCATTAGAGGAACCCAGTGGCGCGGGGCTGAAAGGTTTTAGCTTGTTCTTACAAATTTTAGCTTGGTTTGCAATCGTAGGGTAAAGCAACAATGTCCAAAATCGCCCCCCTCTCTCTCTCTCTCTCTATCTCTCTCTCTCTCTCTCTCTCTCTCTCTCTCTCTCTCCTCTCTCTCTCTCTCTCTCCTCTCTCTCTCTCTCTCTCTCTCTCTCTCTCATACTCTCTCTCTCTCTCTCTCTCTCTCTCTCTCTCTCTCTCTCTCTCTATCTCTCTCTCTCTCTCTCTCTCTCTCTCTCTCTCTCTCTCTCTCTCTCTCTCTCTCTCTCTCTCTCTCTCTCTCGTGCTTCGGTTACGCTCCATCAAAACATGTTCCAGTTATCGCTAAGTCAAATTTGCGAGGAAGTTGTATAGGGGTAAAGTAAACAAATTATGCATATGTTAAACTACTTCCCAGTTTGTGTTCACACAGATCCGTAGCATTTTTAATATTCACGCGTGTTGTTTTTTTTCAGTCTGGTGCTCGCTTATCTGGATTAACTCGTGACCATTAGCCCAGCTTGAAACGTCGAGCATTTGCAACGTAACCAATCTGTGCTTGATAACGCTGTTTAGCCAGTGTTTCCTTGTATACCGAAAGTCGATAACTGCCAGGATAACAACTCCGGACTCATAATCAGCGCATCCGATTAGGACGTGTCCGTTACCCTCGAGGGACGGAGCGAGGACGACCGCCCGTCGGCTGCACCCGCTTCTCAAGCATGTGTATATCTCGCTCCGAAAGGTTCGGCCCCCAACCTTATCCGATATCGTCAATACCGGGCTCGCTGAGCGAGCGAAGCCGGCGTCGGCTTCGGCGTCTCGTCTCGGTCTCGTCTCGTTCGTCTCGTCTCGTCTCGTGTGCTAGGGGTGGCGCTGGGTGTGGACCGTGTGCTGGCGCCGTCTCCATTGTTAGAGGTTGTCATTTTTGGAGGAGATTCAGCACCTTGATCTGCGTGACATCTTGTGGACTGCCGCGTCGAACCACGCTTCCAGCGCACTGTTAACGAGCAGCCTCAAATGTTTGTGACGAATGGGTCTGGACGACCACTGCTTAGGCATTCTTAAAGACAGGTGACGAAACCGAGACCTGTGCTCCGTTGCTGCTGACGCAGTTGTGGAAGCTTTCATCGGGTTTCATCATAAAAGTTTGTTATTTCGGTCGTACGCTGTCTTTATTCAGCATAGTTTAACCCCCAGGGGCTTAAAAGATACCGTGATCTTCATCTTTAAAAACGGCCCGCCCCCTCAATCAGCCATTTCGCGTCGTCGTTGCAGAGCGCCGTTGTTTTGCACGCCTTGGTTGCCTTGGTGCTACAGTTTGTTGCCTAGGACCGACTGCGCATTGTCGCATTGCTGGAACTTTTTGCACCTTTCACTTGTTTAATTGTCGCAGTGTACCAGGATTGGCGGTGCATTTGCTGCCGGACTGGTAACATTTGCGGTTGCCCCGGCGACCACTGCGGTCTGCGTCCGTAGCTTTGGGTTTGGAAGGTTAGCAGGGCCACCTAGCGGCTTGCGCGGCGATACTGCATTGACTACTGGCTACCAGGTGTCGCGCCTGCGCTTCCCGTTCGGTCGACGACCGCGGCGGGGGGCGACGCTGTTGCTACCCGGCCGCTCGAAAATCGACTGTGCAGAAATGCGCACTGACAGCTGGTGACCCAGCGAGCCTGGCGTGGGGTCGCTTACACGAGAGACTGGCCTGCTCCTCGAGATGCGGTTGGATTAGTATCACAGGAAAGTCATCACCCCCTTCCCCCCCCCCCCCCAGAGGCTGTGTCGCCAATACCGGGAGGTGATGGGGAAACCCCTCCCTCGGCCATGTGAGAACAGTATTACGAGGGGGGGGGGGCACGGGAGTTGTTGTGACGGGTTTCTGTGAGAGGTCAGTAATGCGTGAATGTTCCAGGTGTTGACCTCCCCGGGGCTTTATAGTGTGTCAGTATCACGAGCAACAGCGCTACATGCTGGCCTGTAGGCGCATCTGTGCCGCACGCCGCGCACCGCACTGACCACGGTCCGTCTGTTTCAGCTTCCTGGATAAAACCAGCACGATCCGGCAGGATAACTACTCGCCCACCGAGCAGGTACGCCGTCGGTGGCAGGACGCGGCCGGGCGCTGCTCGGCGGGCCCGCGGCGGCGTTCTATTTTGGTCCCAGGCGTCGCGTGGTGCACACTTTTGTTCTGCCGCTTATGGCGGGTGTCGGTGTGCATTTTCCGACGGCGTGATGCCCTGTGGCATTGCGGCTTACGCGGTGTCTGGTTGCCGTCGAGGGAACCGAGATGTGCTGTGCCTTTGGAGACAAAAGACTAGTCGCCTTGTCATAAATATGCCGCCGAGGCAGGTGCGGTGTTGCTCGCCCAGCCTGCACTATGGCGCCCTCCAGCGGGACGCCCGGCCTCGCGTCAGCGGCTCGCGTGCACGCATTGGTGGGATGCCCAGGAAGTGTGGCTCTGGCTGAGCAGCGGGACGCAAGGGTTGCACTCCCCGGCTACCCCCGTGATCGTGGGAGATACGTGAAGAGGGGGGTGGGCAGAAATGTTCTCACCTCTGTCTGTTGAACTCATTAGACTTACGCACATCACATTGAACATGTATTGGACTTCCGTGTTCATCGAAAGGAGCAGTGCGACAGTGCGGTGCGTGCTTAGGCGCTGTTGATGCTATTCACTATTCCGCGTTAGCAGAACACGGGACCACCGGGAGGAGGGTGGGAAGCGGGACCCCGCGCCATTATCGGGTGCCGTCTGGGCACAACACCGGACAGCCGATCGTGGAACGTCTCCCGCAGGCCTTTGACCCGTCGCCTGCCCCCAGGACATTCTGCGGTGTCGAGTGCTCACCTCCGGCATCTTTGAAACCAAGTTCCAAGTGGACAAAGTAAACTTCCAGTGAGTTGATGTCTCTCTGGATTGTTGCAAGACTCCGGTGTGCGACATGTTTGAACAGACGAAGGCTGTGCGTGGTTGGAGACTGTGTCATTGCTCGTGACCTGGCTGGGCAACAGTAGGCGTGCGCGTTCATCGCTCCTGGGGTCGGAAGCCTGAACCGTCCGCACGGCTTCTCGCAGCCGCCCGACCCGCCCATTCGCCAGCCGCGTTTCGGCGGGGGCGCGCCACGCGTGGGCCGCCGGTCTGCGGCGTCACCGTCCTGTTCACAACTGGCGGGGCGTCCAGCTGCCGGCCGGCCGGGACTCCCCCCAGCAAGGCACGGCTCGGCGTGCGGCCGCGGCCGCGGCCGGTCGGCAACCGGCGGGAGCAGGCTTCTGTCGCGGCTGTGACGTCCCGCACAGCACTAGCGCGAGGTCGTGCGCATGGTCGAACTAACTGATTTCAGTCCGTGAATTGCTAGTTGATGCCGTTAAGCCAGGCGTTGATGCCGTATTCGCTGATATAATGATCTAAGCGCTACGGAGAGGTGGACCGTGGCTGCTGTTGTCAACCGTGCGCCACGCACGACGGCAGTCCTGATGACCTGGGTGATGCTATCGCCGGCGGTCTGTCTGAGCGGCGCGTACCTGCGGACGCCGCCGCCCGCGACCAGCTGGCCTGTGTGTGCGAGGAGAATGTCGCAGTGCACTGGACTCCCCCCCCCCCCCCCACACACACACACAGTGTGCGGGACGGTCTTTTGGTCGGCCACGGCCACGGCTCGTGGCCGCAGTGGCTGGCCGGTGAGATGTTCTGTACTATCTCGGAAGGGAGAGGGGGAGGGGCGTCAACTGACAGCGGCACCGGTGATCGGCAGCTGTCCCGTCCGCGTGGAAAGGTCCTTCGGGGCTGCCGGCTCGCGCCGTGCACTGTGGGCAGCCGCTGCGTCTGTGGGAGGGGCTGTGACCCACTGACATCGACTCCTCCTCGTCCAGCATGTTCGACGTCGGAGGCCAGCGCGACGAGCGACGGAAGTGGATCCAGTGCTTCAACGACGTCACGGCCATCATCTTCGTCACGGCCTGCAGCAGCTACAACATGGTCCTGCGTGAAGACCCCAGCCAGAACCGGCTGAAGGAATCGCTTGATCTCTTCAGAAGCATATGGAATAATAGGTATGTGGCTGGCTCCGCCCAGGGCCTGTGGCTCCGTGTGCGCTCTGTGGCAGCTGTCAGACGCTGGCCAGCAGGGCACAGGATGAGGGCGTGGCCTGCCTGCGGGCCTGGGAGGCACGAGGCCGCCCCTGCCCAGCCGCCTGGTGCCGCTGGTGTGCATCGCTCTCCGGCACTGCCGGTCAACTCAGCTGGAGCGCTCCCTGTCGGCAGTCTGTCTTGCCTTTTCACTCGTCTGAAATGTTTCACTTGCTGCTTCTCCGCTGGCTGTGCCCCGTCGCGCGCAGTAGCGCTGCTGGCGGCCTCCGACGCTGCTGTCGCGGGCTGCCCGTTGGCGTACTGTGACGTGTTTGACCTGGCCCACCCCCGCTGACCCGCGTCTGGTCGACCCTGCGGTGGCCCGAGCGACGCAGGTGGCACCGCGGGCGCTTCCCGAATGGAGGGGGGGGGGGGGGGGGGAGGAGTCCCCCGCCGCCGACTATGCGTTTGCGTGGCTGGGCCACTGCATTGGACGAACCTCCTTTTGTGTGGCTGGGTCACTGCATTGGACGGGCCCCCGTGTGTGTGGCTGGGTCGCTGCACTGGACGGGCCCCCGTGTGTGTGGCTGGGTCACTGCACTGGACGGGCCCCTTGTGTGTGGCTGGGTAAATGCTCTGGACGGGCCTCCGTGTGTGTGGCTGGGTCACTGCACTGGACTGGCCCCTGAATGTGTGTCTGTGTCACTGCACTGGACTGGCCTCCGTGCGTGTGGCTGGGTCGCTGACTGGACTGGCGCCGTGTGTGTGGCTGGGTCACTGCACTGGACGGGCCCCCGTGTGTGTGGCTGGGTCGCTGCACTGGACGGGCCCCCGTGTGTGTGGCTGGGTCACTGCACTGGACGGGCTCCGTGTGTGTGGCTGGGTCACTGCACTGGACGGGCCCCTGAATGCGTGTCTGGGTCACTGCACTGGACTGGCCCCCGTGCGTGTGGCTGGGTCACTGACTGGACGGACCCCTGAATGTGTGTCTGGGTCACTGTACTGGACGGGCCTCTGTGTGTGTGTGACTGGGTCACTGCACTGGACGGGCCTCCGTGTGTGTGGCTGGGTCACTGCACTGGACGGGCCTCTGTGCATCCCGGGATCTCGCTGTGTTCCGACGATGAATTCCAGCGATGGGCAATGGGTTCGAACTACTATGAAATAACGAAGCGACGACTTAGTGAGGGCGTGTGTTGTGCGCTTTGCGGCGAACCCCCCGGAAGCGTGTCTGGTAGGCCTGTTGGCACAGGAATGACTTGGTCACCTTGTCAAGTGTGACTGTGCGCAGTAACGCATCGATGTCGTGGAAACTCCCCCCCCCCCCCCCTTTGTTGAAGTTTGACTCAGATGCATCATTCGATAAAGAACATACTCATGTCAGTTGGCTGTTGCATTACGCCTAGGCGCATGCGTAGTCAAAGCTAGCAGCGCTGCGGCGTCTCTGTGCGGAGGACGCGAATAAATAATCTACTGCCAGCCCTGCCAGTTCGTTTTTTCAACTGCAGAGGACAGGAGGAACGCTCCCCTATTCTCACTGCTTCCGACGGTACGTGCTTCCCTCTACTGTTGCCTCCGTCCACTCGGGCCCTGTTTCGCGTCCCGGCAGAGGTTGATGCGTCCCGTGCGTCACGCTGTCCCGTCTCTCGCCGGCAGGTGGTTGAGGACCATCTCGGTGATCCTCTTCCTGAACAAGCAGGACCTGCTGGAAGAGAAGGTGCGCGCCGGTAAGTCGAAGCTGGAGGACTACTTCGCCGACTTTGCCCGCTACACCACGCCGCTGGACGCGCACGTCGAGGATGGCGAGGAGGCCAACGTTGTCCGCGCCAAGTACTTCATCCGAGACGAGTTCCTGGTACGTGTCGCAGCGCCGCCAGCCGTGCCTCCGTGACGTGACTCGCTACGGGTGTTTTCTGAAATCATCTAGCATACGAAGCATGTAATCGTGGGGAGGTTGGTGAGAATGGTATCGGTGGTATTAGAGCACGTCGTGGAATTTAATTATCTCCACCAAGAGTGGTGAATATAGAAGTAAGTTGCGTGACCTGTCTGCTGCGGTAGGCGTGCTGTGAGGAGTGTCGAGTCTGTGGTGGGCGTGCTGTGAGGAGTGGTTAGTCTGTGATGGGCATGCTGTGAGGCGTGTCGAGTCTGGTGGGCATGCTGTGAGGCGTTTCGGGTCTGGGGGGCGTGCTGTGAGGAGTGGCGAGTTTGTGGTGGGCGTTTTGTGAGGAGCGGCGAGTCTGTGATGGGCGTGCTGTGAGGAGTGATGAGTCTGGTGGGCATGCTGTGAGCAGTGGCGAGTTTGCGGTGGGCGTGTTGTAAGGTGTGGCGAGTCTGTGGTGTGCGTGTCGTAAGGAGTTGCGAGTCTGTGGTGGGCGTGCTGTGAGGAGTGGCGAGTCTGTGGTGTGTGTGCTGTGAGGAGTGACGAGTCTGTGGTGGGCATGCTGTGAGGAGTGCTGAGTGAGGAAGTGCGAGCCTGACCTGGCTTATGGTGCCCATAAGCACCATATGGTTTATGGAGATGGATGCGAACTCCACGACGCCATGGACGGTGCCACTCTCCGCGATGTCCTCTTGCCCTGGCTGGTTGCCTTCCGCCGGATGGTCTTGGGCGACCCCAGTGTCAGTCGCTCCCGTTTTTGTCCTAGTGTGTTCGCCACTCGAGTGCCCCACGTGTCCGTCGCCCATTACTCACGCGGCCGGCGTCTGCCGCTGTCCCGTGTGTCCGCCGCCCGTCACGCACGCGGCCAGCGTCTGCCGCTGTCCCGTGTGTCCGCCGCCCGTCACTCACGCGGCCAGCGTCTGCCGCTGTCCCGTGTGTCCTCCGCCTGTCACTCACGCGGCCAGCGTCTGCCGCTGTCCCGTGTGTCCGCCGCCCGTCACTCACGCGGCAGGGTCCTGGCAGCCGTCTCGCACGCGGCCAGCGTCTGCCCGTGTGTCCGCCGCCCGTCACTCACGCGGCCAGCGTCTGCCGTTGCAGCGCATCAGCACGGCGAGCGGCGACGGCAAGCACTACTGTTACCCGCACTTCACCTGCGCCGTCGACACGGAGAACATCCGGCGGGTGTTCAACGACTGCAGGGACATTATCCAGCGCATGCACCTGCGCCAGTACGAGCTGTTGTGACCTGGGTCCGACGCCGTGCTGCCGGCGGCCCGCCCGCCCCGGCCATCCGTGATAGCCGCTACACACCGGCAGCGACTGGGTGTGAATCAAAACGGTAGACGGCCTGCGTGCGCGCGTGGGGGTGCGTGGGCGCGAGTGTGACGACGCGTTTGGTGCGAACTGCCCGGCGTCGCGGCAGCCAGGCCTGCCGCCGCCACCACCGCTCTTAGTAGGCACGTTGAATTCCAGTCAAGATTAGTGAGTAAACATTGTAAATGCTCTCGTTGATGTTTTGTAAAATCTTTATCGCGCTGCCCGCCGGCGCCGGCGCGCCGATGGAGCTGCCGCCTGGTGAGCGCGGCCGGCACTGAGGAGGGAGCCACCGGCGGCGGCGGCGCCCGTGCGCGCGCGCGCCGGCGCGCTCGGCGGTCGGAGCGCGCGCCCCGGCACGCTGCTTCTGTGGCGGGGCGCGCAGCCCGTCTGCCCGCAGGCGGGGTCCGGCCGCCGGGCCGCCGCCGCCGCCCGCGCCGCCGCCGCCGCCCGGCCGCGCGCCTCGCCCGGGCCCACCAGCACGGCTTACCGCTGCCCCTTGCCCCCCCCCCCCCCCTATGTTGTATAACCGTGGGTGATTTCTGTGTAACACATACATGGAGAGAGATGTTGTTCTTTCTGTAGTGGGTGGGTGGTTGTGCATTTGTTATTGAATGTAATGAGTGTGCCAATACGATGTCATGAGAATGATGTGCAAAATCCTTCACGTCATCCATTGTTCTGATTTGCGTTCTGTTTGGTAACTGTCTGTAACGCTCTACATACACTGTATTTTATTTTTAATTTCGCCCTTGTCGCCATTGCCATCTTTTACACCACTTATTTATTCCTGTACGAGGTGCGGACAGCGTACTAACAACTCCAGCAACGTGCTGTTTTAATTTTGTCGCCGGTTTTACCGAATGTTAGTTACGGTACGGGTGCCCTGCTCCGCTGTTGGTAATACTGCGATGGCCGACCCAGTTTTCTACATGTTTGTGCACACACGAATCGAACCAAATTCAGCGCCAAATTGTGCTTTTAATGCGAGGGCAGCGTTCATTCCTTTCGATTTTTAGTAAATATGCTAGTCATTGATGTGACGGCTGCTGAGGCGGTGGGGGACTCGCTTCTTAGTTTGCACAGTGCGCGACGGGGCCGCCGCCGCCGCCGTCGCCGCCACCGCGCCTGCGCGTCCGCCGGGGCTCGCGGCTGCTGTCTGGATGTTGTCTACCTATTCTGATATCGGTAGCTGTACTCACACTGTGGGTTCTGTTCACGAAGCTATGTGAATGTGAGGACATTTACAAACCTATTTACAATGCGGCTGTGTTTTTCTGGGCCAGGCACGGGCGGAAGGGCGGCTCGGTTGGAACAGGCTGAGGCGGCGGGCGAAGAGCAGCCACCCAGGCAACCCGTTCACAGTGCTTCACGTGAAACGCCCACGCTGGTGTCGGAGCAGTCCAAATACGGTGAACACGAGAGCGCGCGTGCGCTTCTGCCGTCGGCACGGGACAGGACATGTTTGACGCTGGGTTGTGATTAAATTCATCACGCGTGTCGACACCTCCGAAAAGTCTGCCAGTAACATTATTAAAACCAAATCTTGTGGCTATCCCCGAGAGGAGAACCGCAGCAGCACAACCAGCACCCGCCGACCCGGACACCACATAGTGCGGCGCCGGCTCTGAGATGGACGCGAGCAGCAGCGTCGTCGGCTCGGCAGGCACTGATATCACACATCGTCAGCCGTTCAGTAATTTGTCGCCGAGAACCGAAGGTTGGCCTGGAGCGCCCCTTTGTTGCGCGGCTTGTGGCCGAATGATGAGATACTGATGTTGGCGCGCGCACGGTATTTTCGCGGGGAACTACCGCGACGGGGTATCCCCGAGCGTGTCCGGGCCTCCGTCTTGGCTGTGTTTATGTTCACAATCAAACACGTGGCTGGATCGCGTAGGGAATCATGCTAATGGAATCCTGGGATCATTTTGTGGGAGTCCAGGCGCATGTCTGCTCACAACACGTTCACATCATAATCACAATCGCGATGGCGTGCGGTCTCCTGACTGGCTCCGGGCCGTGCAGCCCGGGGGGTGGCCCCTTCACAGTGCGCCCTCGTTTTGCGCGCCCCTCCACTCCTTGCCCATAAATGTCCCCTCGTCATACCGGGAGCAATATGGAATGCGTGCCCCAGGGCTTGTTTTTTATTGATCGTTTCCACCACGCTCGGCGCCCCCGCACGTTCTTCAGGTAGGAGTACAACAGGCCTGTGCCGCCCTTTTGCGTGTCACGTCTCTCCAACTTTGCTAGTTTCCTGATGTAACATTCCGTGTCGGCCCGCACTCTTCGCGTGTGCGCGTTGCATCAGGTTGAGCAGGGGCGTAGTTTCGCGAAGAGAGGGGCGTTACCATGAAAACAATAAATCTACCAAAAAATTCGCCGACAAACGGGGTCATCCGACCCACTTTCCTCAGAGTCGGGGATGCACCCCGAGTTGGAGAGCGGATGGGAAGCCATCTCCCTATATATATATATATATATATATATATATATATATATATATATATATATGAACTTCTAAATGATGCATGTTACTCGTAACCTGTTGGCATGCACGTTTTTGACGCACCAAAATTTAATGCGGAAAACAGATTCGTTTTAGCTAATGTAAAACTAAGCATAAGTACCCCTCTGCACACCATAAAAGACGACTGAACTCAACTTTTTTCAAATGCGCTCAGGCAAATGCCCTTCTGTTGGTATTTTTCGCTCGTTCAGTGAGCACGCATCGCGAGCTCGCTGTACTACTGGGGTACACCGTTCCTAACTACTGCGCCTCTGGACGGAAAGCGACCCTCCCCCGATTCGGTTCAGACGTGTGGCAGAGGAAGCGCTCGCCATGGCGGAGTAGCGTGCAATGCAGGTTCATTGCATCAGCGCTACTTTTTGAGCTGGCTCCTCGGTGACCGTGAGATTCATGCGATTATACCTCGGTACGCATGCTCGCTGCTCAATGAGCTCGCCCACGCCCAGCCAGTCTGACTATTTCTGAAATCCAGAGGGCACTGACGATGATTGTGCCTTCGGAGCCTCGCTATCTGGCAAAAAAAGTTTTCAAACAGCACACGTGCAGCGCCCGCTGTCCCTAGAACGGTGATGCGGTAGAACACGTCCGGTGGCGCCGGATATTGCGGTGTTTGATGCATGAGGTTCTTTGAGATCACATGACGATGATGTAAGAGCACAACTGTATCCCCTGTGCACTTCTGCACAGTTCCATTAAGTTGTGATGTCCAAGACAGGGTTTCACAACAACAACAAAAAACAAAAACGCCGAGGTCTTTGCCAAGCGTTAATGACTTCACGGAATAAGCCATCGCGCCATTAATTTGTAATGGTTTATTGAACTCTGTGTGAACCGATAGCACTGAGAGGCTTGGCCAGATTTTTTTACAGGGTGAGTGACGGACAAAGACAAGCAAAGAGGACTCAGTGAACATATAATGTATATCAAAATCGGACGAAAGTTGTTTATTGACATTGCCAAAGCACATTCATCTGGGGATGTTTAACCCTCGTTCAGAATTGAAAAATGACCAAATTGGTCAGATGGGTTATGAGCACGCGTGCTTGCAAGTTTCAGTAAAAAATCCCGACCCCGGCGTTGCAGTTTCCGAGCGCCACACGGCGTTCTGTTGCGATAAATACCCAAGGCCCGGGCCCCCGGCTCACATTGTGCGGTGGCCATCGGGCGGACGAAAACAACAACGCGTCTGAAAAAGTAACTTTGAACGCCTTACGTCATCAAACAGTGCGTTAAGAAGGTACCCGGGGCCAAGGTTTCAGCATAGGCAGTAGAAACGTTTCAAAAAGTGGGGGGGGGGGGGTGAAACCTCGGGGCGTACCCCAGAAACTTTTTCTGGAAAACAAGCCCGACGACCGGGGAGGGGGAGGTAGAGATGGAGGTAATCATTCTTTATTGTAATGACTGCTATTCTAGACATGCATCTAGACCTGTTTCTCACTGGTGCACACTCTTACTTATCCGACTCATCTATGTCATTCGAGAAATAAGGCTTTCCAGCTTCCCAAGGTCATTCGTCCATTTCAACGTTGTCTGTCCTGGGAGCCGAAATTCCACGAGCGGGTAAGCATTTTGGGTCATTGAGGAGGCGTCTGTCTGTCTCTGCATGGTGGATGCCAAAATATGGCCTGAACATAGGCTAGTGAGAATTTTGAAAGTGAACCGATGGCTCACAGTACAACAGGTTTTGCATGCGCCTTCATTTCGCTGACTGCTTTTCAATAAATAAGACTTGTCGCGGGATTTAAGGAGGAAACAAATTCGGAAGCTTGAAACTGCCAAAAACCACGTGAGAAAAGCCATATAACTGGAGATTCTACTTTGAAAACCAAGCCACAGAATGAAAACCATTCTGTCATATATTCCTTGTCTGAGCTCTGCTCCCGTCCGCCGTCGGTGGCCGCTGTCCTGGCCCGGCTGTCTCCGAATGGCTGACCGCGAACGTTGCCTTTTCCAAATAATCGTCCCTAACACCACACCAGTCCAGAAAAATGCCCCCGGCAAACTGCCTACTTTAGGTATGAATTGGCCCGGCGGACAATGAATTGCCCATCATTCGACGTAGATGACGTGATCTGTTTTTGTGTGTAGGCAGGGGGTAGCCAGAGCCTTGCTAAGAGGAACATAGGGTTGACAAAAGCCCCCTTTATGGTGATCCCCCCAACAAAAAGCTATCCCCGGATATAGCTTGCTTGCTTACAGGGGATACGATTTTGTTCGTTTCATTGTTACTTTTACGTTGTAACCAGAACAGAAACCAGCAGCTACCGTGAAATTAATTCTATTGACATTTTTAACACGCGCCCGGGTGGCCGGCTAGATATCCTTTGCTCGGGTGGGGGTGAATTTGATCCACTGAGATCTCGGGACTTAAAGAGCTAGAGACACCAAATGCACAGAGCGTGCTTGACCTGTACGTGAACTCACTTAGGTAAAAGTTTGAGGTTCCTAGGTTTTGATTTTCGGGTCAAATAAAGTCAAACAAGGTCGAATTCCAGGTTGGTCTCTAAAGTGCACCCAGAACCTAGATAACTGCTTGTGAGCAAAAGGTCACATGTTCATTTAAGGTCAGTGAACTTGTTTGACATTTTAAAGGTCATGGTGACCAAAGTCATACAAGACTGCCCTGAGTCTTGCATTTGAATAAGCGACAAAAATTATGCTAGTCAGTATATTTCTAAAAACAAAATATTAACCTAGGTCATTTTAGGTCAATGACCTACTCTGACCTCTAAGAAGTCCATGTAAGATGTAGAATGCGTTTTTTCTGTCAATAAATTCGAAATGAGCACCCGAAACTATCTCATGGAATAAGCCCTGCAGTAATAAAACAGGCTGGTTTTGACCTTGGCCTGGCCTCTATAGCTGATCTTAGGTCAACGTAATTTACTCATGCAATATTTGTGTTGCCTAAGAAAGCATCTCAAAAATGTATGGCTTCGTCTAACACTCCATCGTTGCATCAGATTGAACGATTCCCTAGAAGTTGACTCCGCTGAAACCATGGCCCGACTTCGACCTGCCAACCAGGCCAGCGAAATAGGCGGATCCTGGGGGGGGGGGGGGGCACGGGCCATGGCCTCCCAAAGCTCTGAGAGCATGTTTTGCCCTCCCCCAAAAAAACATTCCCAGAACTTCATAAAAGTTTCGTCCTACTTAACGTCCGTTTTAACTTTGATGGTGCGATAGCAAACATTTCTATCCGTTTTGGAAAAAAACTTCAGGAAGAAAAGATGGCAGAGATTTGAATATCAAAACAAAACGCATATTGACGCGGCTTAGTCATATTCGGCGCAAACATCGTGTTCGATAAGTGCACTGGACCTGGGATCCCACACCAGCCAGATGGCGATGAGCGGTTGCCCCCCCCCCCCAAAAAAAACAACAACTCCAGGCTAGATCAACCTCCGGCCAGGGACCTTACAAAGTACATCTAAATTGTGTCACGCTAAACGATCCGCTATTCAGTTTTCTAGTTTTGCGAAATATGGCGCGAATGTGCCTCGCCGTTCGGGAACCATCCTGGAAAACCCTTCGGGGGGGAGTCAATTTGGCCCCCCTCCCATCCGCGCGCGTGTTAAGGTCAATAAACTGCAGAAATCAGGTGTTTAACAACCGCATGGAATAAATAACCGATGTCCTTAATTTGCGATGGCTTAGTGGACCCTTTCTAAACCGACAAAACTCAGAATCTTTTTCACAATGTTTTATCTGCGTCCCACAAACAGTAAGGACATCGCGAAGGTTGATTGTAGGTCAATATGTTTGATCGAAATTTGAGGGTGAAATTTTGATTGTAGATCGAGTGGTTAACAATGTGTATCAACATCGCCAAGCCATGTTTGTCTGGAAATGTTTAACATTCAGTCAGAATCAATAAGTAATGTAATTTATATAACGTGGTTTTTTAACATGCGCGCATGCAAATCTTGACAACAAAAACCTCGACACCGGACGCCGCAATCTCCTTAGTCCGCGGAGCGCTAGCTTAGTGGTTAACTTTTCGTCATGGGCCATTGGTGGTCGAAAATGACAACGGTTCTGAAATAATTACCGGTAAACATTTGAATCAGTTAGTGATAAAAGTTCAGTGGCATAATTTTGAGCATGCCTACTCGCAAATCTTGGTTGGAAAAACTCGACGCCAGGCGTTGCAGCCTCCGTAGGCCGCGCAGCGTCGGTTCAACAGCTAATACTGAGTTGTGGCCAGCGGGTGGAAGAAAATGATAACGCTTCTGAAAGAAGTATTTCTGAATGCTTCAGGACAACAAAACATACATTTACAAGGCAGTCCGGGCGCATGTTTCACGTGCGCGACTTTTAGACTGATGATAGGAACAGATTGGCCCTTAAAGCACCGCGAAGTGGTGCTGGAACCGGAAGAGTAAAGGTAGATTTTCTATTTTTCGTGTTTCTGTAACTATCATCTGTCCAGAAGATTGATTAACACGGCACATGCCGTTTGGTAGCACTTGCAGTGGCCGACGCCGTTCGGTTTTACGGGGTCTGCAACCCAGACCATCGCTGTCCTTGCTCTCGAGGTTGCGGGCGGGCATGTTCAAACCTTTTGATGCACTTTTCACTAATCCATCGTGAACAATGAACGTTCTTAGGCAAACACGGGATGGCCTTGCTCGTTTTTTAAGCTATATTTCGGCCTACTGTATTCAACAATGAGACCTCCACTCAACAACAATGAGGCCCCTTATTTCCTTCCGGGCAAGAGGCCCCTTGAGTAGAACACCAGGGACACATTACCGGTTCCGGTCAAGAGCTGAAGGGCCACTCTGTCCCATCGCAAAGCGTCTTCTGGCTGTCATTCTGGCGACACGAGGCGGGATCTCCTGGTCGATTCGGAAGCCATTGGAAGGATATTTCATATCACATTGTTCCCCTCCCTGACACGGGAAGCCTTCTGACCCGCGCAGGTGGCCCCGGATCAGCACAGGAACCCTCATTGACGTAACAATATCCCTGATCGCGAAAGGTGGTCCAATAACTGTCACACAGGCTCCAGTTCCGTGCTTTTCTGTTTTCTTCTGAGATATTGAGGAATCCGTGAACATAGATTGTGGATGAAATGGGGTCCCAACTTCGTCTTAACATAGCTAACTCATGTTCGGCTTAAAATGTTAAAGATTCAGTCAGAATTGATTACTGATAAAAAAACTATGCAATATGGTTTTGAACATATGCGCTCGCAACCCATAGCAGCAACGGCCTGAACACCCAGCGTTGCAGTCTCCATAGGCCGTGTGGCGTCGGCCCGCTGCGACACTAGGTGATGACCAATAAGCAAACGAAAAAGGTGACGCATCTTGAGGAAGATGGCTGGTGAAGTAGTTAAATCGGCGTGTATGTTTAAATGTGGTGCAAAAGTAAGTTAAAAACAGCATTAATCTGAAGTGTGTGTGTGTGGGGGGGGGGGGCGGCAGTTAACACTGCTGCCCCCCCCACCTTGAAAAGTGGGGGGCCATGACCCACCTGCCTCCCCCACCCCCCTGTTCCTACGCCCATGGGTTTCAGCGTACGATATTAAGAATGACAACAGGAACGAATTAGCATTTCCAGCACCGCGAAATAGTGCTGAAATCTGGTGGTGGAACTGGAAAAGTAAAGGTAAAACCTACCTTGTTGTTGTATCCGTTAAGCTCTTCAGAGCCCAGCCTCAAAATCAACAGGTTGCAAACACGGCCCAGTCAATTTTTAAATGATGCTTTATTTGGAAAGACGTCTGAAAGGATTATTTCGCAGCGGTTGTCCTAGTGCGCCCGCGGTGGCCAACGCCTCGTGCCATCTGTAGTGGCCAATGCCGCTCGATTAGTAGATAATTGGTGTTCTTGCTCCTAAGACTGCAAACGCGCAGGCTCAAAAACATTTGTGTGATTTGTTTCACTAGTGAATTTTGACAGTAGATCGACACCCGTGGAAACTATCCCCCGGGTGTAAACGCGGCCCTGCTATTCAGGGAGACAACTCCGGTTTGAGATGTCGGACCGTTAGATAGCCTTGGGTCAGACTGGAATCTTGAGACACAAAACGAATCGGAACAGCATTGGGAATGAATGTGAGATGGGATGGATGTGCGAGAATGTGAATGCTTCGGCGGCGGTAGCATAGTATGGCCGAAGTACGTCCTGCGGCAAGATAGGAATGGACAAAAAACCCTTTTCGCTAATTGAGACTTGTTTTCCCAGTCTCCTCCCTGAGTTATTACACCGATAGCTGGGTAGTCTAGTTTCCTGGAACGTCCACGTGTAATTCTGCTGTTCCAGTGTCTCGCATCCGGCTCACTGGTGTACACGATACATCCAAAGTCACTTATGTATTTGACACTCGTCACAGGCACTCACTCTTCACAGTCCGTCCCACTGGCACGCCCGCCCTCGCACCGGCACCTCTCAAAGTCTTCTCTTTGTTACCGCCTCCTCTCCTGGCCCCCGTGGCCGCGTCCCTGGAATGGGGCGCCTGGGGCAGGGGGAAGGGAACGCGAGCGCCTCTAATCGGCGCTCGTCAAACTACGCCCACATTCACTGGCTAGCACAAAGGTGTTCTCTGATATCTCACACATGTGTGTAGAACGGCGCACGTTGGCGACAGGGACAACCCGGATCTGCATCGGCAAGTGCACAGCACACCACGCGCTACGTAAACGCGAGCGTGTGTCGGGTGGGCCCACTAGTTCACGGGATGCTCGCCAGAGCACCGCTGCACTGCGGGGTCCGCCCTAGTGCCCTGCGCTCTCCCTTGATTGGTTGGCCAGTTCTGACGTACTATGTTACATCAGCACCCTGCATCACACGGGTACATGACGAAATACGCGCAATGAGCAGCTCTTGAGTCCGTCGCCCTGGCAGATGGAGGTGGCTATTCCGCACGGTTTGCAGTGGTGTGACTGGCGCGGGGGCGGACGAATTCGAGCTGTTGCGTTGATTGGATAGCAGCAACCAAACTTCCGAGCCAGCAGCAGAACATTGCCCATCTACTGATCCGCCTTTCAGCTCTGCCCTACTTTGGAAGTTCTGGGTTTCGTCTCATCCGCTCGGAAGCAGGTGGGTTTTCAAAAAAGTTTTTTTGCAGGCATTGTGTTTGTTGTTATATGTATTGAATACCTCATTGCTCATCACCTGTGTAAGTTATGAACCAGGACTTTGGCACTCAAGCATATGTGTATCAGTTGCAGGTCAAGGTCATAATCTTCGGCTTCAAGATCTGGGACTGATAGTGTGAGGCATATAAAAACGTGAACACTTAGAAAATGCCCTTCTATAGATGTGGTAGTACATAGTCTGTACTGTGAGGGTGGGGCTATATTACCATTTACCATACTACCCACCAAGCCATGTACAAGCACACCCATACTTAATATGCCATATGAACTGGGTGTCAATCAGCCAGATGCATGCAAACCACCTCTGTGCAGGCCATGGGGTATGAATAAGCTAAACACAGATTTTGAGAGAGCATTTGGATCATCCAGAGCAATGAATAGCCAGATTCAGCTGATCACTAATGCATTGTCCAGCTAGCATTTTCCACATCTCCGCAGGTCGTGCACGGTCCAGATGTCTTCCCACAAAGTAGGGAATTTTGTGATGTGCATACAGACAGGTGTGGTTATCAGCTCAAAGTCATACTTTGAAAGAACAGAGTTATTTGCAGGAACAGTGAGCAGATGGATTTAAATGCTGGCTGCTCACTTTGAACCAGGGTTGTCAACTTTTGTTAGTTTTTAGGGGGGAGCCAAATCAAAGGCTCAGCAACCTTCCCCCCCCCCATCTCTTCTCACCAGATTTAGCCTGCATTATGTTGATTGAACACAATATATGTTTTTAATCTGTATAATGTATAGCTTTTATTCAAGAGGTATAGAGCACATGCAGGGTTGGATCCAGGAAGCAGGCACTGGAATGCCTGGTCTCTTCTGATCCTCCTGATCAGTATGTGAAGGTGCCCCTTTGGAGGCCACCTTAGGGCACCTATGATCCTCTTCTATGGCAGTCATAGGAGGTGGCACACATTTTGGTTATGGGGATGGGGACTAGGTTAGCCATGAAAGACTTAAGTCATCCCCATATTCCAGGGCTTTTCATGTTAGCCTCACAAATCATTGTGTTTCTTATGGCACTAGGTATGTGAAATTTATTGCATTGTTTATCTGCTCAGCTATTGCAATTTGTATCTTGGTCCAGAGCAGCCATGACTTTGTTATGAAAGTGGTATGAGATGTCACTATGCAGAAAGATCAAAGAAGGTAGTCTTTGTGTTATTGTGTGTTGTTAGTCCTCTTTCACCTGCATTGTTTGTAGTATTCCAGCCAAAAACATTGGGGGGGGGGGGCAAGCAAAATTGGGAGGGGGGGGGGGTGCAACTCAGCATTTGGAGGGTGGGGGCCATCACAAAAGAATACAAATTAACACCTGTGCTTTGGACATATGGGGCAGGATAACAGATTGTTAATGTGGGTGTACCTATTGTGTTCTTTGGGTTTCATTGTGCTTACCCAAGCTTCTTTCACAATCTCTTTTAATTTGTTTGGGCACAAGTTTCCTGAGTTCCTAAAACCTTGAAATGTACCCCAAAATCGGATCTTGTTTGGGAGTGCTAACTGGTGCAGGCATCTAGATAGGAATTACTTCACATGGTGGTGTGTGAGGTCAAGTGTGTGCAACCAGGCTTGCTTTCCAGTTACCAGGTGGTCAAATTATGGGAAGATTCAGTGTGAGATGTCATGCATGATCTCAGCCCGGTGCATATCAAGCGTGAACTTACACATACACATGTATGTAACTCTTCAGCTGTGGTCGATGACACAAGAGGGTCTGGAAGAGTGGTTCAGTCCTTGTTGACATGCATGCTAAGCACATTATGACTGACAAGATTATTATTATTTGATGTTGGATCAACATTTTGATGTTTTGAAATATGTTCATTTTATGATTTGCTTATCAGAAGTGGAAAGATCAGTTTGTCAAGACTCATGCAGATTCTGATAGAACTAAATCATCTTGCTATGAAATGTTGGTATACAGGGCATCACTCTATTGACATCTGGGAATTTTCCCTGACAGTGGCCAGTGTGTTTTTCACGTAGTTTTGGCTGTTGTGATTATACAACATGGATCAGCCACAGCTGTAGTTACCAGTGATCAGTTCCTAAAATTCGCTGGGGTGTTTTTCTTTGAATTACACCCAATTATAAGCTTTTCACAAAAGGCAGCATACATTAGCTTGAAATGGGAAGTCATTCCTCCACAGGAAAATAGGTTGGAATCTACAGAACTTTAAGGAATTAAAAACAAAACATTTCACCATGGAGGAGGAAATTCAAGTGGACAAATCTGGGCGAGAGATCGGATTTTAAGGGCTGGATAGGTCAACATTTTTTTACTTAGCCTCAACCATTTAAAGAAACTGGTGCATCTAGGAATGAATATGTATGGTGTTACCTCCTTGTTACCTGGTGCCATGTGCTTAACTGACCTATTGGTTGTCTAATGTGTGACTAGTTGGCTATGGGTCTTAGTCTTGTGTGCATTCCTGAAAGGTCTTAGCTGTGTGGTAACAGGTGTTATCCTGATTACTTTTTGAGCAGGGGGGGCATGTACCCCACATATGCCCATGCACCTTTACAAGTGCCTCCGTTTGACCAACGGAGGAGAAACATGTTAAGTTGTCTGTCAAGTCATGTCATAGCATGCCATCCACTAGCCCTATCATTGGGAGGATTGGAGGCATTAGCAGACATTTGTGACATATTCACCTTCTGTCCCTTATAAACATTGCACTCATCTTTATTATCTAAGCACATGACACAAAGCTTCCTTCAGGAGTGGAGAACAAATGTCAAATTTGCTCCAACATCTCATGAAATTGGACAAAATTCTTGTGAAATCAACCAGCATAGTGTAAAAACCTCCTGGCTCAGGGAAAGAGGATGGGGCACAGCCTGCTTGGTCCTCCCCTTGGCTACACCCCTGCCATCTTCATATCATGTCAGTCAAGAGCCCATAGCCTCCCTCATTCTACCCAAGGCCCTAGAACGGAGTTCTACCCTACCCCCACCCCACTACTCAACCTTCAATGCTAAGCAGCTTGGGTCAGCCCAGCTCACAGTTTTGGGCCCAGCTGCTGATTAGGTCTGGTTCTGTAATATTGATCTCCTTAGCCTGCAGTTGGAGCACTGCCTCTGCTTCATATGTCTGGAGGCACCTTATGGGTGTGGCCGTGCATGCATACACCATGTGCCCCCCCCCCCCCCCCTCCTCTCCCACCGGTACAGCGCTTGTTTCCAAGCTTGTATAGTTATCTCAAATATTCAAGGGAAATATGTCTAAGCCTCAGCAGTTTTCAACTTTTTCTCTATTTTTGTCAGGGAAAAAAGATAGAATGCACATTTCTCAGCCAAACGGACCAGCTGTATCGCCCCATCGGCATGCTTTGCATCATCATTTCCTGGCGTAGCGGCGAGGTCAGACGTGCGCAGCACGGCGGAGTGTGGAGGGGCTCGGGTGGCGAGACCAAGGTCAGGCGCTCGCCGGCGGCCGCCAGTCTCAAGGTCAGCGAGCCCGGCCTGCTCCACTGGACCGGGCGCGGGGGCGGACGGGTCCCTCCGCTGCTGAGTCAGCCGGCGGCGCTGGTGCCGGGTCAGCGGCGGGCCTCTGACCGGGTCCCTCCGCCGCTGAGTCAGCCGGCGACGCTGGTGCCGGGTCAGCGGCAGGCCTCTGGCCGGGTCCCGCTGTCAGTTCAGTCAGCCGACGGCGCTGGTGCCGGGTCAGCGGCAGGCCTCTGGCCGGGTCCCGCTGTCAGTTCAGTCAGCCGACGACGCTGGTGCCGGGTCAGCGGCAGGCCTCTGGCCGGGTCCCGCTGTCAGTTCAGTCAGCCGACGGCGCTGGTGCCGGGTCAGCGGCAGGCCTCTGGCCGGGTCCCGCTGTCAGTTCCGTCAGCCGGCGGCGCTGGTGCCGGGTCAGCGGCAGGCCTCTGGCCGGGTCCCGCTGTCAGTTCCGTCAGCCGGCGACGCTGGTGCCGGGTCAGTGACAGGCCTGCACCCGGGTCCCGCTGTCAGTTCAGTCAGCCGGCGGCGCTGGTGCCGGGTCAGTGGCAGGTCTCTGGCCGGCTCCCTCCGTCGCTGAGTCAGCCGGCGGCGCTGGTGCCGGGTCAGCGGCGGGCCTCTGACCGGGTCCCGCTGTCAGTTCAGTCAGCCGGCGGCGCTGGTGCCGGGTCAGTGGCAAGCCTCTGGCAGGGTCCCTCCGTCGCTGAGTCAGCCGGCGGCGCTGGTGCCGGGTCAGTGGCAAGCCTCTGGCAGGGTCCCTCCGTCGCTGAGTCAGCCGGTGGCGCTGGTGCCGTGTCAGTGGCAAGCCTCTGGTCGGGTCCCTTCGCCGCTGAGTCAGCCGACGGCGCTGGTGCCGGGTCAATGGCAGGCCTCCGGGCGGGGCCGGCACGAGGCGGCCGCCGGCGGCGACGCATCTGCAGGATATACCACTGTCTGTCGCGCACATCGATCGCCCAGTCCTGCTCTGAAGCTGCCGGCGGCCCGCCGCTGGTCTGAGCTGAACCCGGCGCGCGAGCCAGCTGAAGACTGCTTACGCGGATGACTGGAATAGCGGCGCAGCCGACACTGGTGACTGGGCATGTTAGTGTTGCGGCTCTGGCGGCCGGCCGCACTGGCACAGCGAGTGTCGGCGGCTGGATCAGTTTGGTTTGGAATTCAGCCTCGTCGTCCAGTGGTCACCATTTCAGGGCTTTGGGTTGGGGGAGAGGGGAAAGTGGTGAGGCGAGACTTACTGCACCTGGGCGTCCTCCGCGAAGCCCTCACAGGGCCCCTATCCGAGCTACGTGCTGGCGTTTGAACGGGGATGGAGGGGATGGAGTTAGGCCCAATCATGGCCGGTGCATGCAGCGTGGCCCGGGTAAACGGGGCGCAAGCAGGATGTGAGATGAAGCGCGAATGAGGACCCGAGGCCAAAGGGCTAGGCCAGCTGTTCAGCCGGCCAAGTCGGCGGTCGACCTTTCGACCCGCGTCGACGTTTGTGGCTGGACCAGGTGGCCTGTGCCGATGCGGGCGGCCGGACCGGTGGACCCTCCGACAATGCCGCCAGTCGGAAGTCAGCTGCCCCGGCGCCGGGCTGCCGGCGGCGCGTGCGTCAGCGCGCGCGTCCGCGGCGTCACCAGCGGGCGGGACACACCACTTCTGCCGGCGCGGGCGCCGCGTTGCGTCAGAAAGCAGCGCCAGCCGATGGCACTTGCGCGCCCGCTGACGCAACGGGGGGCCTGTGCGGCCGGCGCGCGCTGCTCGGGGTCATGTGGCGGCCGGCGGCCAGACTGCGACTGCTGGCTGCCGGCGCCGCCACGTCCAGACCGCTCCCGGTCCCCGCCCTTTCTCGCCGCTGCGTTAGCGTGTCTTAGCGTCTGGCCATGGGGCTTTGCTTGTTCGGTGAGTGGGCGGCTGGGTACGAGAGGCGCCGAGAGCGACGTCGTGAGGCTTGTGCCATTTTTGTTTGTTTTGTTGGACAATCGTTTGTTTATTTGTGTGCTCCACCGTGCAAGCAGGAAGTGCGCCGCGCCCCTACGGCTGATCTGCCTTGTTATGTTGCCCTTGGCTTGGTTACGTAAGTGGGCGCTGACTTGGATGCCTGTGCTATGGTGTCATGTATAATCGACGCTGTTGCCCCGCCGTGGCAGTGGAAAGGGAACTTTGTGCGTATAAGATAAATCTACAAGTGCAGGGGTTGAGCTTCAATTCACACGCACCTTCGTCCTTCGTCCTTGTGGCATGCAGATTATTTTTTGTTGGCATTGAGAAGTGCGGGCGTTCCCGGGCCTCGGTCACGGCATGACTGCAACACTGCAAAACCGACAAAACTTCAGCCAGAATAATTTGCTCTGACCTTTTGTCTTGTTTGCGTCAGCTGCGCCTGGAGATAGCAGATTGAGACGGGTTCAGGTGGGATTTAGATCGCGTGACTCTCAAACATGTCGGGTACCGAACCGGGCGCCGTCAAATCTCGGCCATGGTCACGGCTCCACGCGCCGCGAGCGCGGCCGGCGGCGGCGCCCGATTTGTGAACCGCTGAGCTGTTTGTGCCGGCCCCGGCACACGCCGGTCGCCGGGCGAGAGACGCGAGGCCGGTGTCAGCGGCCGGCCGGCTGGCGGCGGAGCGCGGAGCTCACCTCGCCCGCCCGTCGTCCGGCAGACATGGTTCCTGAGCTGGGCGGCGTCGCCACGCCCGGCGACGGCCGCGACTCGGTCGAGGAGCTGGAGGACCAGCGCATCAAGAACAACCTGGCCGTCAAGCGCAGCCGACTCAAGAGCCGTCAGAAGATGAGCCAGATGGTGGACAGGTGGGTGTGAGTCGCTGTCTTCTCCCCCCCCCCCGCGCTGTCTGTTCCTCACCACCGTCCTCCCCGTGTGTGCCGTCCTCCCCTTCCCGCGGCTGCCTCCGATCGGGGCCGTGCTGGTGACGCCCAGCAGGTGCAGAGGCTCACTGCAACGCCACCAGGTACTGCGCATCATTCCCCACTGTTGCCAGCTTTACCAAGCATCGGCCGCAAGAAGCAAGTCGATGTAGGTGAAGTAGATCAAGTAGACCTACATCGTATGTAGGTCTTCCGTGAAAGCACGACATAATAGCTTTCTTTTTCCACCATCGGCAAATGGGTCCGTTGGACATCGTTCCGACCTCGGCCACTCCCAGTGTGGGTGCTCAAACGGGTGGCAGACCAGGGACCGAGCAGAGAGCTGAGCAATTTTGGTCGGCAGCTGCTTCCTCGTCAGCCTTGGGGGACATGGACTCGACTGTGGCCTGTCGACGTCATTGTTCATGGCGCGGCTCGAGCCGGGGCATGAGTCCCCGCCTACATCTCTGCTGCATTGTCCGTGCCGCCGCACGGCGTGACCTTGACCTGCACTGACCCTGACCGGCCAGGTGCGGCAAGCTCAGGAAGGAGAACACCCTGCTGGAGCTGAAGGCGGATGCCCTGATGAAAGAGCTGTCGTTCCTCAAGGAGATGTTCCTCACTCATGCCAGTAAGTGGCGCGGACCGGCTGTGTTTCGTGATGAGGATCGTGAGAAGAATCGCGTTATTTACTGACATGGGGCGCACCCACGTGGTTGCCATGTTTCGTGAGGTACTGACCCAACCGTTGCGGTTGAAGTCTTCGGGCCAAATCTGGGCTTTCCGGCTTGTGATGGGATCATTTATTCGCGGTAGCAAAGCCACACTGTGCTCCAGACTGGGGTGGTTATGTAAGGCAGCCCAGCCGGCTTTACAGCGGAACTGTTGGTCGTTAGTCCAAATCGATGCGGTCTCTTTACCGTCCGCTCTAGTATTTATCGAATGCGGTGTCGTTGGCCGCATGGTCAGCAGCGCTGTTGGCTTTGCGCTTTCTATACTGATCACCTGAGTGGCTATGATCGGAGACTACTGCACATTGCCCGCTCTTCATGCAGTCCGGTCGGTTTGACGCGAGTCAGGCTGGGCGAAACACGCGCCTCATGGGTGGAGTGTGTGTGGTTCGCCCGCGCTGCCCTCGTGCCACAGTCAGCCCGCCAGCCGGCCTCACGCCGCGGTCCCGCTCTCCGTCCGGCAGGCGGCAAGAAGGAGTCGGCCATCAGCCAGGCCGACCTGGACCGGATCATGTCGGACGACCTGCCGGGTCCGGAGCTGCCTGACCCGCTGACGCGGCTCGAGCCCGCCGACGAAGACCAGCTGCGCGCCAGCCGGCTGCAGGACGGCGAGACGCTCTGGCTACGCGGCGTCACATCGCCGTAGCAGCAGCCGCTGCGCAACGTCTAATGACAAACCATACCGCTGTTGTGGGCCGGAGGTCGCCGCCGCCCGGGTTCCGCGGCGCCGCTGCCGGCGGCGCCGCTGGGAGCCCGCGCGGTCGGCGGTCGCCGCGCCGCCGTGTATTCAGACTGAGCGTGTGTTTTGGCCGTGCTTGAGCCGCTGTATCGGCTCGTGTTTTGTCCGTGTTGTCCCGCCGGGCCGCCGCGCCAGCAGCTCGCGCCCGCGCCGGCGGCCGTGCGCGGTTCGGTGTCTCGCCACCGCCGCCGCGGGACCGTCAGGTCTTCAGGGCCGGCGTGGCAGGCCGCGCCCGCCCCGCCCCGCCGCGGGGTCAGCTCGGGCGGGAAGGCCTCCACCCGCTGCTGACGCCGCACCGCAGCGGCCCCGTCTGAAGCGCTGTGGCTGAGGATGGGGACCCCCCGCTCTTTGAGCGCCTCCTGGGAGGGGCACCGGTGGGTTTACATCAGACTCATACCGCACGGCATCGTGTACATATGCAGTTTGGCTGTAGACAGAGCCCATCCCCTAGCTGAGTGCTCTTCCCTAACCTTTCATTAGCCTTGAGCATAGTGTTCCTCCCCTCTTGCGTTCCGCTCCAGGTTTGGTTCACGCATGTGTTGGCATTGGGAGCGTGGTGTTTCTATATATTATAGATATAGCAGAGGGCATGCTAATCGTAAGCTGTTAGTTCGTGCACAGTACTTCGGAGTCTAGATACAACTACGGGCTCGAGGTGATATTGTTTTGTCACTTCTCCAGCGACATGGCATGGTACAAACCTTGGTTGGTAGAAATGGCTCCTCGACATGATTGTCGCGCAGTTGAGTCACCTTCCCGGCCGATCACATTCACCACACATTTGCGGTGGAATGTGATCCTCCGGGATCATATTCCCGGTGGAGCACATTCACCACACCGCGCTCATCATCCACCGAGCGCAGCGTGCTGCTTGTATAGTTTAGCGACATTCAGGTACACACTGGACTACATCCGTTTCACGTTCAGACAATCACTGGTGACTTGTTTAGGCGCGGCGCGTACGAGTACACACACGGGGCGACCGTCCCAGCACGCTGGCTGTCGCAGGGCAGCCTCACTCAATCACAGCTCTGCGTGGCCGGCGCTGATCTGCTGGCGGGTCAGCCACCACGTGCCAGCGGCCCCGGCCGCCTGTGGCGGCCAGGTGGCCCGTCACTCTTCGTCGCGGCCGGGTGAGTGTCAGAAATACATAGATCAGTGGTGGCTGGCTTGTTGGTTTCGCATGGCGTTGCGAAAGGGCTGGAGCGAGATGCGCCGCGGGTTTCTCACCGACTCATCAACCAGCGGCGGAAACGCGGCACTCCTGCAACGAGCGGAGCGCGGTGTTCACTCGCGGTTTTAAAAGGGGGCGGGAGGCGGACCCAGCACCTTGCGGTAGAAGGCGTTAGGCCGCGCCCACGCATGGTGCACCGCGCCGCGGCGGAGTCGGCTGAGTCAGCGGGGAGCTCCCGCCGACTCGCGTCCGGCCACAGGATTAGGGCAGACTACCGGACGGCTCTACCGATGGCGTCGTGAGCTGAAACTGACGCGATGCACTGGTGACACTTCAGCGGAGCGAGCTCTCCACGCTACAGATCAGACGGGATTGCTGGGGGTGTTCTCCCGCCATCTGCGTGGCGTTGGACGCGGCGAGACCGCCCGCCACGAAAGGTGGATAGGTGTAATGAAGAGTTGCAATTCTGCCCAGCGGGCTCACACGTCGCGTGTATCCTATCAGTTGTGTTGACACCGTGTTCTGCGTGCAACCGAATAACTGCTTCCATCCAGGCTATATCTGGAGGAGGAGACCGCAGACAGCGGGGATGCCGGCGTAACTCCGGCAGCCAGTGGGTGTTATCAACGCGTACTCGTCCGCCCGGAACCCGGCCGCCGTCCTCACACAGAGCTGCCGCTTTCGTCGCTACCTCCCACGCTCGCACCAAAACGCCGGCGATGCCCAACAGCGTACGCCGGCGGCAGGTTCTCCCAGAGTTGCATCATGCTCGCCCACTCATCCCTCGCTGCCTACCCCACGGCGCACGCCAGGCGCGCAGCGCCCGTGACTCGGCGGCCGAATGCTTCGCAGTCGCCGTACGAGGGACATGAGCCGGACGCGTGGGATCGAGCATGCGTCATGCCTCCGAAAGATAGTGCAGAGTGAGGATGACGCCACCCGGACACTTGGCCGGGAGTGCTCCCCATCGGCTGATTCTGCTGCAAGCGTTTCAGTTGGCGCGTCTCGCAACCGCATGACGCTGCATGCATATTGATGCCCGGGGACATCATCGCCTGCTTTCCATTAACGGACTGCGTTGGCTTTCCCGCGACCGTACCACCCCTCGCAGCAATTCATCCGTGCACTGCATTCTTTGCATGCACTGCACTCCTCGGTACACCTGCGTCGCCCTTGGTTGGTCGCTGCAGACCACAGCAGAGCAAGCCAAACAGCCACCCGATCAGACCACCAGGCCACCGATGTCCTTAGGCAACAGAACCCCACCTATCCGTCATATATTTACAGCATCGCAGGCACACACAGCAGCAACAGCTACGTCTTCGCACGCCACAGTCCGAGCGGCCGGGCCGGGTCGGCGACATCAGTGGTGGTCGGGCTTCACGAACCGGAGGCCGCAGTAGCCGCACGAGTGGTTGCCAGGCTGGTCCTGCGCAACACGGTCGCCGGTCAGGTCACGTGGCGAGGGGCGTGTCAGGTCACGTGACCGACGGGTGAGCAGATGGTCAGCAGACGACGGCGGCGACTGGGTGAAACAGCACCACCTGACAGCCGCCCGGCGTTCCCTCCGATGGGAAGGCTCGGCGGGAACACGGGAACACGCATCTGGGTCTGTGGCTATGCGTGGTGTGGCAACTACGCCGTGGTACAACGTTGCGCAAATGAAGATAAAATACCACGGCCAGAGGGACACTGCAAGGTGCTGTGGAAGACATTGTCATGAGGGAGGTAAACACGAATTGACTTCAAAGTTAAAGTGTTATAGCTAAGCTGTGCTTACGTTCGATTTGTTTTATCTTGCCAGATCAAGGGTTGTTCTCAGTTCACCAGTGTTTTCGTATTTGACTCATTGCGTGGCAGGGGTGTTGGTAGCTTTCACACTATCGTGCTCCGAACTCGAAATCAATTGCCTGTTTATCCTCCCAATGCCCAGGATCAGCCAATTAGCATAAATCAAGGCAACGGTCAACCCAGCACATATGCACCTCGGAGTTGGCACGTCGGCCCGGCACGATGGATGTCAGGATCCGGGCTTAAAAACGCCGGAGGACAACGGCTTTGGAGACAGCAAATGGGCGAGAGGAGGCTGCCGGAGAGCCAGATTTCTGGTAGCAGAAATTTCTGTTTACTGCCCGCACACCTGAGTGGATCTGCTTGGTGGGCCGCACCACATGTAACATCACACTGTCCATGACTACAATCACTACTCCATTTACCATTCAGTGCACACTGACTGACCAGGTTGATGTAGACCTTGGGATGGCCGAGTGCGCCGCCGCCGCCATCACACGACACCACCGACTGGGTGCACACCTTGGGCGGCGCCTGAGCGATCAGATCAATAGCTGGGTGTGGGTTCACCTGCTTGGAGCGCTCAGTGAACCGCACCAGTCGGTAGTCATCCTCCTCAAATGCCTGTCAACAGCAGAGGCATGTTTTCTGTAAGCTTGGAGACATTTCCAATGTGTGCAACCTTAAGAGATGTGGAACACCTTAAAATTATTGCATTCGCTAAAGACCAAACATTTTGAAAGTGTTGATAGCATTTATTTTCTAGTCTCAGCTGATGTTGTTAAGCATGTTCAATGTATATTCTCCCATATTTTTCAATATTTCATTATTATCAACAAATCATAACATTTCAATAAATTATACACCTCTTCAATACTATATCTTCAGACCTAGAACACATAAAATTATTGATTCACTGTATACATCTTTCATTCTCAGAGCCTGAACAGATTACATTTGTACAAACACTTATAAAGCTTTGTTCGCAATGGCAATGAGCAAAGTCTTAAAAAACTGCTTATCAATTGGTTCAAGGGCAAGGATGCAAAACTGAGGGCATACTTGGTCAAAACTAGCTTTCATAAATCATATTGAATAATACATCCCTTTAATGGAAGAGTGAAAGCTTTAAGAAACAGATGCTTGAATCCAATAGTGTGATAATCATACTAATATGGTACAGACACACTACCATGTCCTAATACCCTAAAGGTCTAGCCTCCACTGACATGCTTCCAGCCAGCTGATCTGTCATTAATGCAAAAGATGAAGCAGGGTGTGATAGTGGACTTTTGGTGGACACTACCCTGTCAGGGCTATGCCATTGTGGTCATGCCTGTAGCAAAGCATTGTCCAATGCATGCAACAGAGGTTTGACTGTGCCATGTTTGGTGGCTGGGTAACACCATCACAATAGAAATAAGATGACACATGATTCCACAACTGGTTTCAATCAGATGAGTTCAGCATGATACATAGATCCGTTTCCAATGAGAAACATCCAAACACATATTCTTATAGATCAATTTCCAATGAGGAACACCCAGATGCACATTGCAATAGATCACTTTCCAATGAGGAACATTCAGATACATCTTATCAGGCTCGATGTAGGTATACATTCCTACCTAATGTTAGAAAAAATGATTGTATGCCGTTCATTGTGCTTAAGGCAGAACATATCATAAATAATCTTAAAACAGGTAGATTCATGCTCCTGCCTTCAAATTTTAATATTTATGGTAGCGAGCCCCCGAGCGCTGAACACATCCAACCTCCTCGACTCCCCAGCCCCGTTTCTGTGTTGCCGTTGCGTAATTACAATATTTCTGCCTATCAAGAACCATAAAAATGTATGGGACCAAGGTAACAATAATATAGCTTAAACTAAACTAGCCTAGCCTAACCTAACCTAACCTAACCTAACCTAACCTAACCTAACAGCCTAACCTAACCTAACCTAACCTAACCTAACCTAACCTAACCTAACCTAACCTAACCTAACCTAACCTAACCTAACCTAACCTAACCTAACCTAACCTAACCTAACCTAACCTAACCTAACCTAACCCCCACCCTATCCCCTTCAACCCAGTGTCCCATTGGCATCCATATTCCATGCCATATATATGTACTGTATTAAGAAGTTTTGTTTAGCCACCATATTCTCATTTTGCTTTTTGTTCCCATGCAAAAGCGTCATATTTACCCACCATGTTGACCAATCTACAAACAATACAGAAGACTGCTTGGATATGCAAGAAACACATTTTATTGAATTTGTGTTGCCTTGGCCTCATACATTTTTTATAGTTCTTATGCACAGTAATGTTGTGATCACACAGTAATGTTGACATAGAAATGGGGCTGGGTCATGGTTGCTATGTGGTTGTGCTCAGATGTTCCCTATAATAGTTATTTAAGTTCCAAGGTAAGAGCTTAGATGGCCTGTTTTAAGATTAATTACAATATGTTCTGCCTTAAAAATAATGACTGATGTACAATGCTCTTTCTTAACATGGGGTAGGAATGCATACCCTGACCTCAGGCTGGTCTTGCTATAAGCAAAATAATGGCCATAAAGCCCGATCAGATTCAACAATAAATAAAGAATAGCTGAGGCACTGATCAAGCATAACAGTGCAGATGCCAAAAATGCACTCACTGCACACTTGACTTGATACAATTTTTATCCATACTTATGTCAGCTGGAGGTAAGAAACATTTGGATATAATGTTTGTTATAAAACACTTGAAGCCATGTCAAAAAAACTTTTGCCTGACCTTACTATGATCAAAACCATGTTATTTTAAATGTGTTAACTACAAAGGTTTCCAATCTTTTCACCGCTATCGATGTGACGTTCATTTGACACGTATTTGTCTGATGCACATCTTTCACGATAAAAACTGAAAATGAAAGAATTATTACCTGACCAGTATGGGTCACTCTGTCCGATGTGGATGCAGTAGAGCACGACCTAACCACCGAAGGCAATACTCTCTGCAGGACAGTAATCTGTCGGACCAACCGGCCTCCCAAAAGTGCCATTTTCTTTATTCACGTCAACAACTCCTCCCCCCACATATGATGACGGCGCTCAACAATATATCCTGTGTTATAAAGACCCTCCGCTGCGATTTTGGCAATACCGATGCGCTGAAGGCGCAAGGCGCGCAAGTTCTCAACTAGGACAATCCACTAAAATACGGCACAAATTATTCATTAAACACTTATTTAAACAAAATTTGTAAAATTGGCATTTCATACGATGGCATCATGCGTGAAAAGGATTTTACAAAAAAATTCACTGACGTTGACTGCAGTTCCCTCAAAACCTTGCATTCATTTCCTTCGAACAGGATCATGGAGTTGACAGCAATAGCAAAGGCACTTTCCGAATTGCACACTGTAAGCTGCAATCCTGACGAAATATAGCTATTTTCTGGAATGGTAGTGACTTTAGCCAATTCGCTTTGAAAGGGGTAGTCTGCTGGCTCCCTTATTACGCCAGAAACGCCAGATTCATGGTTTGAACAGGCCCAGCGTAAAGAAAAGTTGACGAATTTGCACAAAGCGTTGAATTTAGCAGTCAGCTCGAAATGCGTCATTATTGTCAAGAAATAATTCGTGTTATTTGTGGTCGTGGTATTATTCGTGTTAATCGTAGGGTTATTTTGCACGGGCATTTCAGGCATCTCGTGGCTCTGGTCCTAGCATCCTTAATTGTGAGCGGGCCGTTTTTTTGGTGCCAGTTAGGTGGAAAGCTTATATACAAGAAGAAGGTAAGGACTGGGTTGCTATTTTCTCATCTGTTGTCGAAGAAAAATATTTTGCCTGTGATGATTTGAGAGGCATGCGAAAGTGATAGGGCTCTCGAAAAACGTATCTGCAGTGCACTACTAAAAGTTGATGGATGATTTTGCGGTTCATTTGGTGGGCACATGGCTTTTCTGCTTTCTGTCAAATGAGTGTTTTGCTTAGTTATTGACTATGGGTATACACCTTACCTGTATAACATTCCTATTTGGAGAATGGCCCCCTTGAAACCCCAGCAGCATAGTGCATTGAGCAAAACCAAAAGCTCAGTAATATTAATATGTTTTCTGTCACTTACTTGTTTTGATTAAAGCTCTTCTTCCACATGTTGCCTCCATGTTATGGGAAAGGTATCTGGATTAAAGATTGGAAAGGTTAAGGTCAAGGTTAAAGATTGGAAAGGTTAAGGTTAAGGTTAAAGATTGGGAAGGTTAGGCCTAAAGATTGGAAAGGTTATCTGGATGGGTGTGACATCTTCAGTTTCAATGTTTAAGCTAGCAATCTGTCTACTATTTAAAGGACCATCTTCATCACCATCACTTTTTACACTGTTGATCAACATTTGAAGGAAATGCTGGTCTGTGTCTCTTAGCTTGAAGAGTGAAAACTGAAATACTTGCCAGGCAGATGAGCATGATACTTGTTTTTAGTGTATCTAGAATCATATTGCACACATGCATGCATGGTTGCATGGCATGAATGTGTTTTTTACCCATGTACACCTTGGTTTTATAAGTTTGCACAATCATTTCTCATTCCCAGATCAAAGAACTCATTGAAGTTATCTGCTGATGCTGCCAACTTTGTTAGCTATTTGTCCATTCAAGTTATTTATCTCACTTGGTTTATTTGACAAGACAAATAATATGTGCATCTGTGCTGGAGGGTGCTTACCACTTTGTTGCAGTTTGCACTTGAGATTCATTTGTATTTGGCTAAATGCTTGCATAGGTATGCATTTATTCAGCCTGATCTCCTTACCCCAGTTTGAGAGCTTGATATCTTGGTATTAGCTGATGAAGGATAATATGGGCTCTGTGTTATTCATGTTTGGTTGGCATGGCAACTTAAATATGAGTGGTAATAAGTGTGAAAAATTATAATTTCAAAGAACCTAACCTGGCTCCTACTTATATTGCTGGTGTAAATACCAGACCCTGGATTGTAGCTTTCATGGGTTTGTTCGCAAAACATCAGAACTTAATTCTGACCTTGTTACCTTGATACCTTGATACCTAGATACCTAGATTCCTTGTGTGAGGATTTATATATATATATATATATATATATATAATTCCTTCCTAAAATTAGTATATATGTGTTGGATCAGGATGTCAGCATGTTGGATCAGGTCCATCTTTGGAACATGGGGGGGTTCTCTCCATCCCCCTCTCAGTGTGCTTCGCTGTTTAGATGTGCAGGCCTGCAAACTTACATTTTGTGCCTTGGAACATTATGAGACAGACCAGGCAATAAAAGGAGTATGTCACCTTTTCATACATTTTACTTATCAGATCAGACATGTCTGGTTGGTGATGCCAGTTTTCTTGAAGTCCTTCTGACTAGCTCAGAATTTTATTTCCAATGGTGCTGTCGTGGTAGGAACCTCATTGAACTCCCAGCTCACCACTGTGACAGTCATACATTTCAATTTTCTTGATTTCTCTGAATGTGTGCATGCATGTATGTGTGCAAGCATGTGTGTGATGTTTGCAACACACAAAGTTGTCTAAATACTTGAGTAATTAATGCCATAAAGGCCTTAAACACATGAACACTCATGAAAAAATATGCAAAGATGAGCCTATTATCCCATGAATTCAACAAATGGTTGACTTTGCTTCTAAGGCTTTGATTTTTCCCCTATTGCATTAACCACAGAGCCTTTTTTGGAGCACACTTTGGCTTTGGGAACCATAGTATCACATGTTCTGTAATGACACTCTGGGTTAAACTTCTACCTGTGTGCTTCTTGGTAACTGAGCCATTCACAAGCACTCTCTTGTACTTAAGTCATTCATACCAGTGGAGTTAGAATGTCAAACTCTGCAGGTCCACAATGTGTGGATTAAAACAGCTCAAAAGTGGTACATCTGACCCGTAACAGGAGATGACAGTCCTCAGCAGGTTGTGCCGTCGCCATGACAATGGCATTCGCGACAGCGCGGTTGTGGGCTCAGGATGCACTCTGGGGCTACTAAGAAAGGAAGAAGTAGTGAGGCAACTAAGCATTGCCAGCTTAATTTGGACTAAAAGATAGTGAAAGTTGATGCCTTTATTATCTCTTGATGATGCTGCAGTGGCACTACCCAGTGCTATTATTAGATGTAAGTGGTCCTGAGATTTGTTGATAAGTGCATTTGAAAGGAATGTTGTGCATATAAATAAGATGGTAGTTACAATATTCCTCTAAGAAAATCCAGGAGAATGGAGAGATAGATGTGTTGATATTTCAGTGACATGCCTTTATCAAAATGACTATTAGTGGCAAGTTCAAAAGTGGCCACCGACCCTATTTTGATTTTTCATTTTTTTTCAACATTTGTTACTGATATTTGTTTTGATAAATGTATTTTGCGGAAATATCGGCGCATGTATCTCTCTATTCTCGTGGTTTTCTATGAGGAATAGGGCCATTTTTACGGTATCAAGGTTTCACTGGAATGCGTTTCTAAAATATGCCCCAAAGGTGGGACACGTCTTTTCATATGTCACCAAAATGGAGCAGAATGCGAAATGGCTACCAGAAACGCCATTGCCAAACTGAACTCTTTCATCCTAAAAGAGCAGCAAATAATAAAAAGAAAACGGAACAAGATCTGGACTAAATGGATGGTCGCCTTGGATGTGCTCACTGTTGCCGCATGAGCTGGTGGTCTGCCAGAGGTGGTAGCAGTGGTGGTGACTGTATCTTCGGCGTTTCGCAAGGACACGGGATCAGGTTATGTCACGTGACCCTGGCCTGACCTGCGGGTGTGCGGTGCCGTACGGCGGCTAGCGCCGGGTGAGACATAGGCTGCAGGCCAGGGAAAATGAATGTATAATGAATATATCAGCTTGTAAAAACAACAGCATTTTATCTCAGTCGGTGAGGTTGGATGTGGCACACCTGATGGCAATGCCATACAATGGGTTTTCCTTATAACTTTTACAAAATTAATGCCATGATCCTGTCATATATACCAGTGTAGCTTGTTCACCAGAGACAGACAGCTGTTCAAGTAGGATTGTTAGGATCTGCAATAAGGCTTTGTGTGCCAGTGGAGCATTGTCTGAGCCCTCCTTATCCAGCAATTTCAGTAAAGATCCAGTTAAGTTTTGCTTCTGTGACCACTACAGGCTTAGTTTGTGGTGTGATCTGTGATGCCCTTTGCGAACCAAGTTCGTAGTCATATGACATGATGTATGTGCAGCTTTGGCTTGTTGTTTGAATTTTTAAGGTTTTGTCTCATTTATTAATGCTTTAAACTTGCATGGCAGAACACGGCTGGTCAGTCTAGGCTTATTTTCACAAGCCAGGACCCCAGAGGCTGGCCTGAGAGATTGTGCATTCTGCCTATTGAATCTGGCTTATCATCCCATTTAAAACTATTGACGATGGCTTGTCATCCCATAAAAAAGCATAAGGTATGAATACTGGTGCCTGGTGAGAATTTGAGCTAAGAGCTCTGCCTTTTTGCTTCATTGATATGATTCCCGACTGGGACATGGTTCTTGGTGGTATCAGTGATGCAGTTGCAACCTGAGTCTTGGTTCTCGCTGGATCACCCGGCATTAGTGCAGACTGACTCTCGACCTTGCTGGGTCATGACCTAACATCAGGCCGAACCTCGGATTATCTTCTGGCGGAGCATGCCTCCTGCTGTTGTTCCCAGTACAGTCAAATGCTGTGTCCTGGTCACTACTGGATCCTTGAGCTCGACTCTGGCCAGTGCCTGGGTTCTTCCTTCTTCAGGGTCAGCCGGAATATATCTAGGAAAGCAGGCCCATAGCTTGTGGTGAGCGGCAGTCTCGCGTCTCCATCCCCATGCCGTCACATTCGGCCATCAGCGGGGCGGCACTGCACGCGACGTCCGCGCTGTCAGCCGGTGCCGGCTCACCTGTCCCGGCGGCACAGCCCGTGTCGCCGTCACTGACGGGAGGCGCCGCCGGCAGGGCGCGGGGCTGCCGCGATGGAGCGCGGCACGGCGCCGCCGCTGGCCGCGCTCAACGACTCGGCCGAGGCGGGCGGCTCGCTGCTGGACCGGCTCTCCGAGAGCACGCTGCTGGCCGACCTGGCGCTGGACAAGTACAGCTGCTGGCAGTGCAACCACCCCTGCGACGAAATCACCGAATGCGTCGGAGCACTCAGGGTAGGGGACTATGTCGCCGCTTTTGTGTGTTGTGGGCCACCTGGGGGGTAAACAGTTAATGACGGATGTGGAGCAGCTCCTGCGTTTGGTCTTAGAATTAGGTTAACATGTGATACTTTTATATGCTCTGTGCAGACTGCCGAAGGGATGGTGTGTAGTCCGAAAATGTGGCGGGAGTGAACTCCGAACATATGAGTCGGTCTTCCCTGACATAAGGCGCCAGGTCACCGGACCGACACGGTGCGTGTCTCCCGCTGTGGTCAGCGTTCACCGTGTGTGGCTCCACCGCATGTTCGCATGTGCCTCGTCTACCGCGGGGGTGGGGATGGGATGGGTGACATTTTTCATGTGACCGTGCGTAGACGTTGTGTTCTCCGAGTATGCACCGCCGGGCCAAGGCGGCCGCCCGGAGGCTGACGCCGTACGCCGGAGACGGCCGACGCTGCGGCATGGCCCCCGGGGCCGGCTCGGCCCGCTGCCCGGCGCCCGGGGCCGGCTCGGTCCGCTGCCCGGCGCCCGGGGCCGGCTCGGCCCGCTGCCCGGCGCCCGGGGCCGGCTCGGCCCGCTGCCCGGCGCCCGGAGCCGGCTCGGCCCGCTGCCCGGCGTCCGGAGCCGGCCCGATTCGCTGTCCGATGCCCTGCCGCTGGCGAGGAGGGCCGCGTCGTCGGTCACCCTACCGTCGGGACCGGGATGTTTGGTTTGTTGGTGTTGTAGGCGGCGGCGGGCTCGTCGCCGGACGTTCCCTGGCCGTCCAGCCGGCGGCGAGACCGGCTGGGGTGCTGGAACGTGGGGCGGACAGATGACGCGCTTCGGTGTCGGGCCTCCAGTGTTTCTCGGCGCTGGACCAGAGTGAAGACTTCGGCGGACAGCCGCACCGCGCGCGCGGCTGCATCACGGAAGTGAACAAGGTGCTCTTCTTCTGCCGCACCAAGAAGTTCAAGCGGAAGGAGTACCAGTACGCGTTCCACTGCTGCGAGGGCAACAACTGCAACGACGGCGAGTTCCCCGCCCTGCCCGTACTTCCCGAGCTCGAGGGTAAGGCCCTGTGTGCGAAGTGGAGTGCTGGAGATATTTTTCTGGTGTCTCGTGCTGCTCAGGCTGTGTTCTTTTTTCCTTTCCAGCTGTTGTTTGAGCTGGGTGTGTCACGATATTTAAATGACATGTTGAATAGTGCGAGTTGCGCATGTGGACTTCTCTATGGCTTTACATTTGACGAATATGTTTGCATGTTGCCAAAGATGATGTCTTTCCGTGATGGGATTTGCCGTTGAATGTCCCGTACATTTGCCGCGGTAGGTTTTGGCCGCCGGGCAGCGGTGGCGAGCTGTCGCTGTCGCTCATCTGTCGGTGGCGAACTGCCGCTCATCCGCTCTCTTCTGCTGACCCGTCCGGTGCTGTCACCGACGCCCGGGGGACGCGGAGCCCCTCTGGCGCCGCTCGCTGTGCTCAATCCTGGCACAGCCGTGCGTGGTATGACGCTGGGCGGTGTCGGCCCTCTCCGCCGGCAGTGTTTCCCCGCCGGCTGCGTCTCCCCGCCGGCTGCGCCTCCCCGCCGGCTGCGCCTCCCCGCCGGCCGCGCCTCCCCGCCGGCTGCGTCTCCCCGCCGGCTGCGTCTCCCCGCCGGCTGCGCCTCTCCGCCCGCTGCGTCTCTCCACCCGTGCTCTCCCGCCCGGCAGAGCCTGGCTCCGGCGTCTCGTCGAGCCAGTACTACGGCCGGCTGGTGCTGTCGGCGCTGGCGCCGGTGGCGCTGCTGCTGCTGGCGCTTGGGGTGCTGCTGCTGGTCTGGCTGTGGCGGCGCCACCGTCACCGGCGCGCCGGCCCCGCCGACGCCGGCGAGGCACAGAAGCCGATGCTCGGCTCGTCCCAGCTACTGGAGGACGAGATGATCCGCGCCCGGCAGACGGGGGACTCCACGCTCCGGGTACGGCAGCGGGTGGTAGACAGTGGCCAACCCGCCCGGCCGGTGATGTTCGACCCACCAGACCCCGCTGGTGTGGCAGACGTGTGTGCTGGGGCCTCCACTCGTAGGACAGCCCCTGGGAGCAGTCATTGGGCGCCAGTGTGTGTAGTGTGGAGGGGGGGGGGGGGGGGGGGGGGGACGGCAGGCACGACGCCGGGACAGGCCAACTCGCCTTATGTCTGTTTGTCGGTATGGAAGACCAAGAAAGACCCCAAAAACAAAGTATTCTTTAAACCAAATGTGTCATATGATCGTAGTTTATCATGCGTGGTCTTTTCGGCTCCACTCGTTCTTCGTACCGTACAATACGGTCCGACTGGCACTGGATCGGACGGTCCGCGCCGTTCCCCTGGCGCGGGCGGCGGCCGGCCCGGGCTGGGGATCGACTGACGCGTGTGGTCGGGCGCCGACAGGAGGTGCTGGAGCACTCGATGACGTCCGGCTCGGGCTCGGGCCTGCCGCTGCTCATCCAGCGCACGCTCGCCAAGGAGATCACGCTGGAGGAGTGCGTCGGCAACGGCCGCTACGGCCAGGTGTGGCGCGGCGTCTGGCAGGGCGATCACGTGGCCGTCAAGATCTTCTACTCGCGCGACGAGGCGTCCTGGACCCGCGAGACAGAGATCTACAGGTGAGCTCGGTCAGCTCTCCTCTGCTGGGGAGATGAGAGCGGATATGGACCTGGACCCGCGAGATCGAAATCTACAGGTGAGCTGGGCCAGGTCTCCCCTGCTGGGGAGCTGAGAGCAGAGATGGACCTGGACCCGCGAGACCGAGATCTACAGGTGGACTCGGCCAGATCTCCTCTATGAACGCTACCAGGCGAAAACAAACAGCTGATGGAAACAAGGCGCTATGAGACATAGACCATTGCATTACTGCTGCAGTGCATATAGCGTACATATTTTGGATAAATGATATATTACTTGCGTTTGGAATGGCGCGTATTAGAAGTGAACAGTACGCTGACTTCGGTATGTGCGTCCGAGCACATGCCATTGATCTTGTTTCGCTTGTTTGCCTCTGTTGCATTGTCTTTGTATTGTTGGTGAGCTTGAATGAGCTGCCCGTAATCCAGTGTTATTTGCTCCTCTTCTCCTCCACCAGAGAGATAGTCATCATATACTGCGAAACCGCTGAATGTTCCACAAACTGACAGGAAGCATTGCAAGTACAAACACCGGGCATCCTTTTTGTTTTCTTGTTTTCTTGACCAGGCTGGGGTCGATCTGTGCTTTCTGCCTGCCAGCCGTGTTGTCCGTGGCCGCAGCGCTGGCGCCACCTGAACAACACCAGCGGGGAGTGTTGAGTGGGGCGGCCGCCACTGTGCGGCGCTGCTCTCAGGGCCGGGCGGCGTCCGCTCGCCTGACGCCCGTTACCCCCCGTGCCCCGCTGCCGGCAGCACCGCCATGCTGCGCCACGCCAACATCCTGGGCTACCTGGGCTCGGACATGGCGTCGCGCAACTCGTGCACGCAGCTGCTGCTGGTGGCGCACTACCACCCGCTGGGCTCGCTATACGACCACCTGAACCGCCAGACGCTCACGCTCGACCACTGCCTGCTGCTGCTCATCTCGGCCGTTAACGGACTGAATCACCTGCACTCGGAGCTGCACGGCACGCAGGTGAGCCGAGGGCACGACGGAGCATCGCGCCCGAGGGACGGCGGCGGCTGTGGTGATTCCCAGAGGGACGGCGGCGGCTGTGGTGGCTCCCAGGGGGATGGCGGCGGCTGTGGTGGCTCCCAGGGGGACGGTGGAGGCTGTGGTGGCTCCCAGAGGGACGGCGGCGGCTGTGGTGACTCCCAGAGGGACGGCGGCATCTGTGGTGGCTCCCAGGGGGACGGTGGCGGCTGTGATGGTTCCCAGGGGGACGGCGGCGGCTGTGATGGCTCCCAGAGGGACGGCGGCGACTGTGGTGGCTCACAGGAGGACGGCGGCGGCTGTGATGGCTCTCCGGGGGATGACGGCGACTGTGGTGGCTCTCCGGGGGATGACGGCGACTGTGGTGGCTCTCCGGGGGATGACGGCGACTGTGGTGGCTCACAGGAGGACGGCGGCGGCTGTGATGGCCCTCCGGGGGATGACGGCGGCTGTGATGGCTCCCCGGGGGATGACGGCGGCTGTGATGAACTCTCCGGAGGATGATGTGAAGGACTATCTTTACATCGGACGGCCTCGTTATGGCTATTGGTGGCATGGTAGAAATACTCTGCAAATAATTTTACTGTCAAGGTTTTGAGCACTATCTCAGTTTCGGTGACGTGTGACGAAGAAAGCGTTCATTGTCCAGGCGCCAGCCATACTGGGTGGGAAATACGATCCTAACTGCGCTGGGCAGTGCGACTCGTGCAACTAAGTCACGGTGAAAATAGAGGCTGTCCCTGATTGTCATCCCTGATCGAAACTGTCCCTGATTTTCCTGGATCTCCCCAACAGTGTTTGTTCGTATGGTTTGTGTGGTGTCCGTTCGTCAGTTCGACACATGCGTGTTTGTGTCCAGGGCAAGCCGGCGATCGCGCACCGGGACATCAAGACCAAGAACATCCTGGTGAAGAACAACGGCGAGTGCGTGATCGCCGACCTGGGCCTGGCCGTCACGCACCGCCAGGGCCACATCGACCTCGGCAACAACCTGCGCGTCGGCACACGCCGCTACATGCCGCCCGAGGTGCTGGATGAGAGGTGAGAACACGGACATCCGGCGTCTTACGCAGATCGAGGTGTTGGACGAGAGGTGAGAACACGGACACCCGGCGTTACATGCCACCCGAGGTGCTGGACGAGGGGTGAGAGCACGGACACCCGGCGTTACACGCCGATCGAGGTGCTGGACGAGAGGTGAGAACACGGACACTCGACGTTGCATGTCGATTGAGGTGCTGGACGAGAGGTGAGAACACGGACACTCGACGTTGCATGCAGATCAAGGTGTTGGACGAGAGGTAAGTTACAACCGATGAGACGTGGGCACCTGGTGGTTTAGTTTTCAGGTGTTTCGTTTTCTCGTCTCCATCCTGGGTCAGACGCCTCGCCGCTGTACTCATCCCTGGTCGTTCTGCCCGACAGCATCAACAAGGAGTCGTTCGAGTCGTTCCTCAAGTCGGACATGTACGCGTTCGGCTTGGTGATGTGGGAGGTGACGCGCCGCTGCTCGTCCAGCGGCCGGGCCGAGCCGTACCGACCGCCCTACCACGACGTCGTGCCGGCCGACCCGGGCTTCGACGACATGCGCAAGATCGTATGCGTTGACCAGCACCGACCGGTGATCCCAAATCACTGGTCCGGACACCCGGTCAGTGGGGCGGCGCAGGAGGACCTGCGGTGGGGAGGGCGGGCTGGGGTCCGGACACCCGGTCAGTGGGGCGGCGCAGGAGGACCTGCGGTGGGGAGGGCGGGCTGGGGTCCGGACACCCGGTCAGTGGGGCGACGCAGGAGGACCTGCGGTGGGGAGGGCGGGCTGGGGTCCGGACACCCGGTCAGTGGGGCGACGCGGGAGGACCTGCGGTGGGGAGGGCGGGCTGGGGTCCGGACACCCGGTCAGTGGGGCGACGCGGGAGGACCTGCGGTGGGGAGGGCGGGCTGGGGTCCGGACACCCGGTCAGTGGGGGCGACGCGGGAGGACCTGCGGTGGGGAGGGCGGGCTGGGGTCCGGACACCCGGTCAGTGGGGCGACGCGGGAGGACCTGCGGTGGGGAGGGCGGGCTGGGGTCCGGACACCCGGTCAGTGGGGCGACGCGGGAGGACCTGCGGTGGGGAGGGCGGGCTGGGGTCCGGACACCCGGTCAGTGGGGCGACGCAGGAGGACCTGCGGTGGGGAGGGCGGGCTGGGATCCGGACTTCTGGCCGGTGAGGCGACACAGGACGTGGGCCGGGGAGGGAGAGGGCGTCGCTCCCCATAATGGTTCGGACGACCGACCGATGCCGGTGTTCCTGGGCATTGTTCTGTGCTGACTGAAGTTAACTGTGCAAGGCCATGAGCAATCAGCAGGCAACCTTTCGATCCATCCGCCCATTGCGCTTGAGTAGCAGTGTTTTGGTTCTAAACCTTGAGTCCAGGCTGCTAAAAAGCTAGGCATGTTCCCAGCAATTGATTAGTCATGACGCGTATCACAGCTGAATGTATTCCTAGCTATTGATCAATCATGACCCTCATCACAGCTGTGTATATTCCCAGCAATTGATCAATCATGACTCCATCACAGCTGTATGTATTCCTAGTCACTGATCAATCATGACCCTCATCACAGCTGTATATATTCGTAGCTATTCATTAATCATGACCCTCCTCACAGCTGTATGTATTCCTAGCCATCGATCAGTCATGACCCTCATCACAGCTGGATGATGATCAGCCATTGATCAATCATGAGCCCATCACAGCTGTAGGTATTCCTAGCCATTGATCAGTCATGACCCTCATCACAGCTGGATGTATTCCTAGCCATTAGTCAATCATGACCCTCATCACAGCTGTATGTATTCCTAGCCATTAGTCAATCATGACCCTCATCACAGCTGTATGTATTCCTAGCCATTGATCAATCGTGACCCTCATCACAGCTGAATGATGATCAGCTATTGATCGATCGTGACCCCCATCACATTTGGATGTATTCCTAGTCATTAATCATTAATTGTCTTCATGGCAGCTGTATGTATTCCTAGCCATTTATCAATCATAACCCTCAGCACAGCTGACAGAGGCAGTTGCGATACTAAGGACTGGGTGCAGCCAGTTATATATGCTGGTAACAGAGATACCCCGACACGGCTGTGCGACCCCTGCAGTGTGTACTGCGGTCCTGTCGAGTGTGTTGCGTCCTCTCAACCCGATAGCGTGCGTGTCACTTGATCTAGACCGCAGTCTGGCGTGGTCCGCTTGACCTGACATCGTGGGCATCTTCTTACCCTGAACGTCGACTTGACCTCAGCGGGCCGTGTCTCGTGACCCTGACCGTTGCTCGCCGCGGCTCGGCCCTGACCCCACACCGCGAGTGTTCTTGACCCGTGACCCGCTCCTCCGCCCGCTGGTCGGCCTGACCTGACGCCGTGCTGGGCCCGTGACCTGACTGTCGCTGGCCGCGGCCCGCCGGCAGACTCTGGTCGGCATGGCCAAGCTGATGAAGGAGTGCTGGCACCACAGCGCCATGGTGCGGCTGACGGCGCTGCGGCTTAAGAAGTCCCTCGTTCGCCTAGAGGGCGCCATCAAGCCGGCCAACAACAAGGTGGACCTGTAGCGGCCGCGCCGACGCGCCGCCGCCGAGGCTCCGGCGCGGAAGTAGCGAAGAGGCTGCCCTCTGGCGGCGGACGGCGCGCGTCGCCGTGTCATCAGCGCAGAGGTACCGGGAGATGCTGCCATCTGGTGCCGGACGGCGCCAGCAGGCTCGCTGGCCGCCGTCGGCCCGCTGCTCCTCTGGCGGGCTGGCTGTGGGCACGTTTACCGATGGACGGGCTGTGCGTCCGCTGCATGTCTACGTAACGTGTGAATATGCCGATTTTTGTACATGTGCCTTACCGCGCGCGAGCCGTTGGTGAGACTTCGCCGGTTTTGTAAGTGGACAAGCGCGCAAGTGAAGCTTTGTAAGTATGCGCGCCATTGGAGCGTGCCGCTTGTGAGACGGCGCCGGCCGCGGGTGCCGGTCCCTTCGCGAGGCTGGCGTGTGGTGGCCCCACCCGCGCTCTGCTGGAGTCGGTCGCAGTGCCGAGGTGCGGAGGGCGCTGAGCGTGCTCGGGGTTTCGTGCGGCGGCTCGGGTGCCTGGCGGGGGCCGTCAGATGCCGGCCACGGCGCGCCGGCCTCGGGCTGCGGCCCGCCGCAGGTGGCGGCGGGGTTGCTGCGGTCGCCACTGTGGTGGCGGGACCAGGACAGTGCGCTCCCATGCGACTCCGAAGAAATCGGTGCCTTGTGGCGGCGAGGTGCCAGATGGTTCGGCACATCTGAGTCCGCCGCGCATGAACGCTGCTCCAGTCACTGAAGCCGCCGACCTCAGCCATGAGTCTCAACGAGCTTCGAACCGCGCTGTTCTGAGGACCACCAGGACCCGGAACTGCTCCTCAAACGGTGTCCTCTCGGCGTAGCGTCGGGCCCCAGGCGGGCCCATCCCGCTGGATCTCCAGCCGCCGGCTGCCGCTGTACGCTGATGCCTACACCCCTTACAAACCACCGTAGCAGCCAGGTAGTTGCTAGTGTCTCGTGTCGAATGTGTCGATGCCACTGTGCCGTAGGCACGTTGCATGTTCGGGCCGTACGAAGGTGTGAGATCCATGGCGTTTCTCGCGGCGCCTTGTTGGTCACTGTGGCTTCACACATTGTGCCATACGTGAAAGTCTCCCTGATAGCCGTTTTAGTTGTGCGCTATAGTCGTAGACTGGACATTAGCCGCCGCGTACGTCGCGTGGTTTGTTTGCTTCCTTGCTATTAGCGCTGTATGCAGGCGTATGGTTTTGTGGGTCGAGCCGCATGCACCATTAGAATATGCCGTTGGTGCGATGCATTCTTGCCGTGTGACAGGCACACTGCTACCAAGAGTGCAAAACCACGCTTCTGATCCGTCAGCCGCTGTCTGTGAGGTGTCGGCGACCGTACACGTACCGTTGGTAGGTGCCACGAGCACGATACGCACGAGACCAATCGCATGCCTTGAACAGGTGACGTCACCGCCTTGCTCCACGTGCCGCGTTCTCCCAGCGGGAGTCTGCACGTTCCGTTCGGTTGCGCTGAAATGTGATGTGGTCGGCTTGCTCTGCTGCCGGTCCTCCGTACCCGATCTGTCGGTCTCTGGCCCTGCATGTGTGTTTGTTCCGCCGTAATGTCCTCCGGGCCCGGCTTTGTTACGCTCGCGGTCCGTCTGGCCGCTCTGTGCGTGCCGCTGCGCCGGCGCGTGAGCCGTCAGCCCCGCGCGTCGGCGTGGCCCCTGGTGGCGTCGCCTGGACCGCGTCCCCCGAGTGCCGCTGTGTGTCCCGCCGGGCTTGTTTCGGTTTCGGATAGCGGCGCCAAGTTCGGAGCTGCGAACGCGCTGTGTCCGCCCGCAGGCCCGGTGCCGGTCTGCTTCGCTGTTGACGTGCAGCAGCCCAGCTTTCTCGTAACGACTAACATGCCAGAGAGGAAACTGCACGTTTCGACGGGGTATTGCTCCCACTCCACTTTGATGAAAATATGAGGCCATCTATTTTTGCTGGAGCGTAGACTAGCAGCTGTAGATAGTGCAAGCCGTGGGATCAGCGTAGTTAGCATCGCACTTGGTGCGAGTTAACTACTTAACGGGCGTTGAGGGATGTGACGTGTGTTGGTCGATTGAAGCGTCGGTCGGTTCCGAAATATTGCAGACGTTTTGAATGTGGTACTTCTTGCTGTCGGTGCCGATTACGAACGTTTTGGCGAAGAAATCTCGTGTGCATCGTACGCGCTTATTCGTGATGAGGTCTCTTGTGTGCGACTGCCCTTGTAGGCTACCGAGGAATGTTTTGTACTGGAGATGGGAATCAAAATGTGAAATTGCATTTGCCAAATGTGTCTTACCTGTTGAAACCGGCGGAAGTTATTATGACGTTTGTTCGTTTGTCTTGGTTGAACTGATGCCTGGAATCACGCTGATGGGAAGTACAATTAAGTAGACAGGTGTGAAAGATGCAAGCAACATGAAACATGACTTACGTAATTTGTCGTACGTGGTGCGTATATGAAGTGTTTTGTATGTTCATTTATTGTGTTTTTACACTGGCTTGATTTGCTTTGCCTTCCAGACCAAAAAATGGCCAGATGCTTGCAGGGAGCTATGAATAAGCGCAATAAATCGAGCAGAAACTAATGCTGGTATGGTATTGAGGCCATGGTCGATTGCCTCGCCTGAGGTATGCGCTATGGTAATCTTTTAGAACGGCTGCTCATAAGCCATCGACGTTTTTGTTTTGGGCGGCTCTGTTGCGGGCCTCCGCTCTCAGCCACCGACTGGGAGACTGTCGGCGGCGTCCAGGATTTGGTGTAACCTGAAGCTGTCTGTGTATCTGCGCGCCAGAGCCAAAGGCTGGTGGTTCGCTTCGTGCCGAATAAGGAACTGCAGGATGGACGCCTGGACAGGCGCCGGTCCCGAGCAGCCCCCCTCCGCGGTCAGGCTGCCGCCAACGCTCCGCTGCTGAATCACGCCGATGCTGGCGCCCGACGCCTAAACAAGCCTCCGGGCTGTGCCTGAACACGGAGCCACTTTTACCTAAGAGACATCGCCAGCCAACAAGAAGGACTTGTGTTGTCTGGGGTGTTGTACGCTCGGGGTGGGCTAGCACCGCTGCGAAGTCGCGTGTTATTCATCCAGAGCATTTGGGGTTTAGGCGGGTGGGGGAGGTAGGTTACTGCGGTGATCATGAATGACAATATTGTCAATTGTGGTGCGCTTTCATAAGTGTCTGCAAAAGGTGTTAAGGAAACTGTCAGAAAGGATTTGTGTGCTTGCTCTTAACATATCCTTGCCATGAGCAAAAGAAGCCTCAAATTCTTGTTTTTTCGGCATGGTGGGTTATATGAGGTTTATGAGCAAAATAGTTGACTTGCGTTAAAGCTGGGGTACTGGTTAAACGAAATGTCAATCTGAAACAATCACTGAAATATATTATTAGAACGTCGAACACTGCGCGACCTTACGAAGCCTGTCGACATAGCCGTCTTTGTTTTGCATAACCCTTACCCTAGAAATGCGCATTGGGCGGAAGGATGTAGGAGCCTGGAAGATGCGTTATACTGATCTCTTTTATTGGCAGGTGCTGCACGGGCTCAAACGCTTCCTGAATCGACCGCCTAAGGTCTTTGAAGCTTCAATTTTGCTTAGCCTTATTCAATGGTTACCATGAGCACTACGTTGAAACATGGAGTGCTGGGGGCATTGTGACAGTAAATCCCACTGCTTTCCCGTTATCTTCTTGTTGGCAGTACCTCCCAGTACATTGAAGTCTGGTTACTTTCAGCATTCGCCGTAATGGTTTGTTTACACAGGTGTTGGTAGGCATGGCATTGGTAGTCGCAGTGATAGTGACAGTGATAGCGTTAGTTATGGTATGGTAATGTAAGGTGTGGTAACGTTTAACGTTAGCTGATACACGTCCTATGCTGCCTATCATGGGGCCCATGCACGTGTGTCCGGCACTCTGAAAAAACGCCTGTCTTAACGCCCATTGTGGGTTCTAAAACCCACAATGTCGAAACAATTTTCACTGATATAAAAACTAGTTAACACGCCACTCGATATCTTACTTAGCCACGCCTAAGACCCGTCTTTTCGCCTTACGGGTGCCCATAACGCTATGATTTGCCATCACCGCCCAGCTTACCGGAGCCGACCGGCGACAGCGTACTGCTGCGGGGTACCTCCACGCCAACAGATGATCACCGCCTTATGCTGTTGCTGGCTATGATCAGCTTCGACGAACCAGGGCCACTCGCGAGTGATCAGTATTGGAAACGATGCGTGTAATTATTTTCGAGTTTATTTACAAAAGACTCCATGATCAGACACGTGTCGCACGCGTAGCTCAATCCACACTGGTATCAAAACAATGCTGTAAATGGTGGAAGGGCCACAACTACAGTATTGACATTTCTCGCTTGTTCCGAACGAGAAGTACTATGACTGACTAAGATTCGGCGCTGAAGATCCCGCCGCTTCAGGCTCTGCCAAGGCACCGCCACCAACGTTAAGGTCGCATGACGTCACACGTGTACCAGGCGCTCCGTCCTGACAAGGAGGCTGGGGTAGATGAGCCTCCACACCTGGCGAATGCCCGGGCCCAGTTTCCGCTTAAGTTTCGTATTTTTAACGTTTACATGCACGCTACCTGTCATAATTTATGTCCTAAGCGTGGTGGTAATCAGAATGTGGAAGCCACTGGCGCTGGTGACACGATTTTGGAAGGTTTCGGCTGGGACACGACCATGCGTGAACAAGTATCATTACCGTCCTCGTATTTGGCTTCTTTCCATAGCTGCCTTTCAAGGGCTCAAATAACTATCACTGCGTCTACCTAAATCGCAAGCTCATGCAGAGAACAGGGTACACTCGTGAAAGGTAAGATCATGCCATAGTCATCAAGACGGCTATCTGTACAAAATCCCCGCATCATAACGGTAGCCTGTCAACGCAACGTCAGCAACAGCATGCCCTTGCACGTAAATAACGAACAGAGGCGATTGTCTTTGCAAGACGCAAGATGTTAAGCGCATAGCATTTCAGTAAGACGAAACTTGAACGCCGTCTTTGTTAAATGTGGTGGGGCGATAAAGACGTGAAAGCAATATCTCTCCGCCGTCTGCATTAAACGAACTACACGCTGTTTCGATAACAACTGTGACCTGTATCGCTCAAACGTTCAGACGGTACCATCCGCACTGAAACGCGGTGACTTATTTTTGTTCAACATTCCCTCCTCTTCTCTCAGTACTGACCGACATAAAACTGCAACAACGCTGCCACGCGCAATATTGAAAAGCTGCCGCGCAAGAGGCTGGCGTGCCGCGGCTCGCGTTGCGCTAGGCTCGCATAGCAATAACCTTTGACGTGTTTACCAGCAGGAAAACACGTCCGGTGGGACAAGTGGAGACTAGGAAGGAACTCCGCTAGGGTGCTTAAGAAGCGTCTAAGTACACGACGACCTCAGCTTTGAAAAGATTACAGGGCTCGCCGCACTCCGTCAGAGTGGATGCGCGCGGATGCCAGCGTTTGTTGGCTTTGAAATATGACTAGGCAAAACTCGACTAGAGTTACGTAAAGCTAGTAAAACAAAAATAAAGCTTTGTGCTCTTCGAGGCTAACATAAAAACGCAGGGCGAGGGGGATGCGGCTAGTAGAGGACATCTTGATCTTGATACCTGGCATCCATCGGTGAATGTGACAACACATAAATAGAAAATACGTATGAACGTCAAACGCACTCTATACAAACGTAATTCAATACAAGGAACTCGATGAACTAACTACAGTCAACGCACATGCATGCAAACTTGCCCTGTAAAAGTATCTAAAAAGTGGACAGCCGGCGCGGCTGCATCCTGTCACGATACATTGGCTAGTTGAGCCGGGTCTGTGGTCTGTCGAGACAAACGCACTAGAAATGAGCATTCTGAGCATATAAGGAATTATTCCACAGCCAGTACAGATACTAGAGTACTCAGCAAACATCGAGAGAATAAATGCCCGTCAGAAAATATTTCATTTGCGTCGTTACAAAAATACAGTCACTCGGCTCACGCGCTTTGTCTCATCTTTGATCTCTCTCGGGGTGCGTTATGATCGTTGAGGAATTATTTGGTCCCAACCAGCACATTAGCGATAACACTTGGCGTACGATGCGAGTGTCCGTGATTGTCACGGTTGAATCAGCTGCCTCAAGTTGCGGTGACCGCATGAGATGTGAGAAGCTTTCCGACCCGCCCAAATCACGGCTCGAAGCCCACCCGATCCTCAGGTGGTCGGCCGCCGTATCGATCATGCCGCAGCTTGTCCCGATGCTTGAGGTTTTCATTTGATGAGCTAATAAACACAGCCTCGATGATTTGGCTGGGCAGCTATTCCTGTTGAGCCTTTCCGAATTGTTCGTGCTCTCGTGCGCCAACCACATGAACATTGGCATAGCTCAGCTGGTCATCGCGCTCAAAACACGTATAAAAATATGTACAAAAGACCTCGAGAAAACGCATGGTGGCCAAACGTGTCCTCACACCGCACTCACAACCTGGGTTTTGGCATCGGTGGCCGGCTCGCCACCGGCGGCCGGCGACGACTTGAAGCCGGCGCGGCCCGGCCGCCGCTCCTTCATGCAGCTCGACTCCTCGTGTTTGTACAGGTAGCTCTTGAGCGCGAAGGCCTTGCCGCACCGCTGGCACACGTGCGGCTTGACGTTCGAGTGGGTCTGCACGTGCGCCCGCAGGTTGGACTTGTCGGCGAACGCCTTGGCGCAGACGGAGCAGCGGAACGGCCGCTCGCCCGTGTGCGTGCGCACGTGGCCCTGCAGTAGCCAGGGGCGCGAGAAGGTCTTGCCGCAGTACGGGCAGCGGCATCCCTGCGTGTGCGTGCGGACGTGCATCGAGTAGGCCGGCATCGAGACGTAGACCTTGTCGCACTCGGGACACTTGCGTGCCTGGTGAAAGGGGGCCGGTGTTAATGTGTGAGGTTGGCATCGGACGAGTGACGTCTCTGCGCGTTGCTTCTGAGAGCAGTAAGTGCGAGTAGACATCAGGCGGGGTTGCGGGGAAGAGGAGAAGTGGCAGCAAGGGCAAAGCAGCAGGGGTAATTCCTGCCTGGCCGCGAAAGTGACGTGGTGACAGGGAAGGAGCTCGAGACGACGCCGCAATAAGGCAAGAGCGCACGACAGAATGCAAGAGAACCTGACACTAGGTCTTGACAGAAGAGAGCGGCCATACGGCTAGCCTCAGAAGTAGTGACATCATTTTATTCTCTACAGACTACGCTTACGCTTCTCGCCACGCTACGCTTCTCGTGACTTCTACTGGCACACTATGCCCTGTGCCATGCTCGTGCCTCGTCCACTCACCTTCTTGTCTGCGGGCAGGCAGTGAAGCTGGCGGTGGCGCGCCAGGTTGGAGGCGGTGCTGTACTTGCGACCGCAGTCGTCGCACGGGTGCTGCGCCGGCTCGGGCTCAGGCCGCGGCTCCAGCACCAGGCGCCGGATCACCGACGTCTGTCTTGCCAGCGGCGTCTGCTCCGGCGAACCGGGCGACGCCGGCGAGCTGCAGACTGAGCTGAGCTGTGGCGGCGAGCTGCAGACGGAGCTGAGCTGTGGCGGCGAGCTACAGACGGAGCTGAGCTGCGGCGGCGAGCTGCAGACCGAGCTGCAGACGGGCGGCGCGGTGAAGACGTAGGTGAGCGCCAGCGGAGAGCTGGACACGCAGGCGCGCGGCGGCGGCGGCGGCGAGCCGGCACCGCGCGCCACCCGGGCCGGCGGAGAGGGCGTGCGCTCGGGGCTGGACGGGCGGCGGCGGCGGTGCACGCGCAGGTCGAGCGCCTGCTCGGCGGCCGTGTAGGCGGGCGGCCAGGGCCGGCCGGGCGTGAACGGCTCGGTCTGGTCAGCCGGCGATCGCCACAGACGCGCCGAATCTGAAGCACGGGCATGCCGATAGTCAGCAGTTCGCGGCGGGAGTCACATGTTGCAGATTGACATGAACCTGCTCGATTGTTTGTGACAGACTGTTGTCATGGTTACCGCTGTTTTTACAGGCTTGTATACTTGTTACCCGAGGTTATCTTGGCTTGACTTGACTCTTATAAGGACTTGTATACTTCTTACTGAGGTTATCGGATACAGAAGGGACATCTGTAAGGACGGTTCATGGGCTGAGATCCTGAGGTCAAACGATCAGCTGTCAGTGGGAGATAACAAGACACACAGGTCGTTTTTTAGTTCTGCTGTAGCTCCTGGTTTCGTACATTCTTGGTGTGTTGTTTCAGACTGATTCTACTCTGATGACATTTGCATTTCTAGTTAGGAATTCGCGGTATTTACGGAATGATAATTGATAACTTTGTTGACGCATTCTTGCTTTGAGTTTTGCTTCTTCAAAACATCACATTTTTCTCTGGTTGATTCAGCCACGTCGTGCAAACATATCGATGAGCAGAAGTTAGGCATTCATGCATTTTGGTAGCTCGCAATGCATGTGTATGACGTCGAATGTTTTGACACTATTAGCTATAGAAGAACGACCTTTATCTCGCATTCTATGTACCACGCGACACATTGCGAGTGTTCTGCGTGTGTACAAAGCGAACTTCAAGGCGCCGGCATGTTCGGAAGTGGTGTTATCTGTTCACAGTGCATCTGTTCGTGATTTCTTATGCCATATATAAATATAACGTCATAGCCATATACATAAAAGTGTCGACTTCCGGTAGCACACAGGTTCTGCAGCTGTTTATGCCAGTCTTGGTCGTCCAGGTTTCAGCCTGGCGCCACACTGCATGGATCGCTGCGTTTGGCATGCTGCGTCCAATGATAGTGTGAAGTTTCAAGTTTGCAGGTCAGGGGTTCCGCGTAGCTGAAAAGTTTACGGCACGGTCTAGCATGTCCGCCAGCGTTCGCCTTACCCAGGTCACTCTAGACATCTGGGAAGCAGTCTGCATTTCCATGGAGCAGGTACCTCGCATGGTTGCTAAGGTTATACCAACTGTACTCAGATTAAGTATATGTTCAGTGTCAAGAATGAAGCGAGCTCGTATTTCATACACTTGCTGGCATGTCACTGTTTGTCGCACAACTATTTCTCGTTGTGAGTTACTTCCAGCGGGCCTCGGCCCTCGAGAAAATTTGACAGACGAAAATAAGTCATATCAAGTAGCTCGAAGTCTACCTCCACTGATTGCGAAATATCTTTCAGCAGTCTTCTACTCCCACATTTCAGCGATAGTTTCGGAGTCACCTGGTGTTTCTCTCCTCTTTTCTTCGCGGAGATCAAGGCTTGAGCCAAATAAGGTCCCGTATATTTTCGGACCGCAGGCTCACTGAGTCCACCTATTAAACCCACCACCTGTCCCTCCTGGGAACGAAACGGACTGACTATTCCGAACACACTGACGAAAAGCGGACACCGCTCGCCTCCTCGCAGTCAGACGTGGAAGCCGAACACCGCCGCATCCGAGGGCGTGCGCGCGCGCGCCGAGCCGAGGCATGGCTCCTAGTCGGCGGTGCGGCCCCGATGGACGCCGTGTTCCTCTGCGGCTCGAGGTTTGGGTCGGGCCGACGCGGCTCAGTGTGGGCGGCACGCGGCCCGGCGTCGGGGCGGGTCCCCAGGGTGCCGGCTGGACCCCGTGGGCGGGCTGCTTAAACACTGACGTCAGCGGGTGAGGCGGGCCGGCCAGGGCGGCGGTGACTCAGGACCGGTGAGGCCGACGGCGCCGCGACCGCTCGCCTATCTGCCTCTGACGCCAGTCGTGGCGCCCGCCGGCCGCCGCCGCCGCCGCCGCCGCCCGCCAGCCTCCGGCAGGCGGCCATCCGCCCAGGCCGAACAGCCAGATGGTGCGCGAGAGCGGGGGAGCTCCTGGTGAAGGTCCAGTTAGTTATAAAACTGCTGAAGCTATGTCGTAGCTTGGTAGCGTTTCATAAGGGGCGTATTTGTAGCTAAAAAGGCAGAGGGATCGGTGCCACTAAGCGCGTATGCTCGGTCGCCATGATGCGCCATGAAAGTGTGTCAACATGATCCTTTTTTCATGGGTTTATCTTTAGAACAAACTCCTTATTCATTATCAGGCACAAGGGCTGAATTCTTTCACAGGGAGACCACTGCGTCACTGCCCCTCCCCATTCTTGTGGCTGAGCCTATGCCTAGCCTGACACATTGCTGATCGTAAGCCCTGGGGACACAAGCATTCCGAACAATTAATTTTTTCCAAGAACGCCATGGTGACATGCACGTTGTCATGCTCTTTTCCGACGTTCACATGCATGGCTGTTGTTAATGTGTCGGTGTCAGAAAGTGACTTGCTTTACCGCTCCAGCCCTCCTCGCTGCAAACACCCTGCAACTTCACCGTCACACTGCCTGCAGAGGTGTCAACGGGCAATGATCACATGCAACAGATGTCACTAGAGAGAGATAGGTGATCACAGCCACCGTTGTTGTGGATGAGCCGGAATGCATCATATCTGCTTGTGTCAATTTTTGCACGCTGCGATCAAAATTAACCACTCTTGGAACGATTAGAGCAGCATACAGTTGAACCTAGACTGTAATCAACTGCATTGTTGATGTTCATCCACCAACCGCGACGTGCGAGAGCTATGATGCAGACATCACGATGAGCACTGCCACACTGAAGATAACTGTCGTGATGACATACCAACATGCGCACCATAACCACCTGGTGGATGATGGATGGTGGACCATGTCAGTAGCATAGACATGTGATCGTGTGTGCCGGTGGATGACGACTTAAGAGCATCCGGCGTCGCGTTACGCGGGTGATGCTGTGGAGTGTTCGCAAACGGCGGGACTGACAGCTGGCCAGACTCCGGTGCTGTGGCGTGGCTGTGAGCAAGTGAAGCGATTCCTCTGTTGAGATGGGTTTCTTGCTCCCTGTTGTGTTTCGGACATGACACTGAAAGGCCTAGTCCTGGGAAAGTGACGGATCGCGTATGGGCCGAGCAGGGGAAAACGTGCTCTCTCTCTCTCTCTCTCTCTCTCTCTCTCTCTCTCTCTCTCTCTCTCTCTCTCTCTCTCTCTCTCTCTCTCTCTCTCTCTCTCTCTCTCTCTCTCTCTCTCTCTCTCTCTCTCTCTCTCTCTCTCTCTCTCTCTCTCTCTCTCTCTCTCTCTCTCTCTCTCTCTCTCTAGCACAGCCCTTCGGTTTGGTGGGCTAACAACCAGTCGATGCACTTAATCCAGCCTCTTGCGAACCAGGTCCATTATCGCTAGCGTCTCCAGAGCACTTCGCAACATCAGCTCAAGTCCCAGTACCAGTCATGTGGTGTTCATTTCCACACGCCGAATATTCTCGCCGCACCTGGGGCTTATTTGTCGCCGGGGCAAGCAGTACTCAGTATATGCGTTCGCAGACCAACACTGCTGGCTCCCGATCTGTGGTCCTCTTGTCGGTAAGTATTTTGCTAATGATAACTTAGGAGTTCATAAATCACGCACGGCATTTCCGCACGATGACTCGATTTCGACCGAATGCCCCGTGGGCGGCTTTCCGTTTCATGTGGTGTTGATGTCATGATGTACCATTTCCGCTATTTCCACTTAACGAGCTTGGGCCGCAGGTTCTTGTGAATAGCACCATCTGGCAAGGCCTGAAGGCAAAGCTAAGCCTTTTCAAATCCAACCATTACGTACCATTAAGTCGTTTTCTTGTCAATATTGACTTTTCGTTCTTATGTCCATTGGCATTGTCATAAATAACGATGTGTATGATGCATGCATACAATAAGGGTGTTTTGTAATGTATGTTTCAACTGTAGCTGACGGGTGATGCTAAATTGCTTGAATATTATAGCTATGTGATAATTTGAATTGTTTGATTGTATTTCTATATATTTGACTAGTTTGAGTTTGTTGTGCCAAATTGATTGCAACGACATCCCAAACACCAACGTTCCTGTAAAGCTTTTGGCTGGCATTCGCAAAGCCTGTACTAAATCACTTGACGTTCATCCTCTGAATTAAGCCACCATCTTACCTATACCGCAGAAATACAAAACTAAAACAAATCACCCTGATGACAGATAGCAAACATTGTAATCAACACATATCACGTTCCTGGCAGCGGCTTAAATAGGTCGCATCGCGTCTGTAGAGCTAACGCAACGGTAGCAGCCCTCATAGCCCACGTGTGTAGACTCCAGTCGTGCCCACTGTTCGCCGGCATAATGACGACGTATGGGCCTACCAGCGCCTCCGGAAGTGGTCATGGCACGCCTGTGACAGATAACTGCCACTCACGAAGGTTGCAGAAAAATAAACTAGCAAGCGGTCATTAGGCCGGCCGGTCGATGGCGGCCCGGGGCTGGCCCGGCACATCAGCCTTACCCCGCAGCGACGTCATCCATCAGCCCTATCCCACAGCGCGCTCGTCCATCAGCACTGCCACTGCGCAGGGTGTTCGCCCCTCGGGCCGGACCGGACACGCTGCAGACATGCCAGGCCGACAGCTCACATCGGCACCTACACCGCACTGCTGACAGGCAGCCTGTGATTCCGACACGGCTGAGGCTGGGGTATTGGCATATCTTACGGGCTTGCATTGTAGGCATGGTGGATTTGATGATTCCGCATAAATGCGTATGTGGATGGATATGCGATGAATCAATGCGATGAATGGGCAACAATTACCACGCGGAGAAAAGGTGTCAATTACTCGGATGTGACATACCATTCGTAATTTTGTATCCGTCACCTGAAACGTATACAGTGTATGAAATGGCAGTGGTAGATGCTCCGTTCAGAATTAAGGCGAATTGCTCATGCGGCTGTGGCTCAATTTGCGAACTTAACTGTTCATTTCAAGTTTTTGTGAACTTATGTAACGCGTGTATCTATCATGCATTAGCTTTCAGTTATCGCCAATGGTACCAGCTGACTATCACGTTCAGTGAGTTTTCTTTTTCTCCTTCGCCCTACAAGG